GTCTTCCTGACGTCCAGTACCTTCACATGTGACTCTGTGATTTGAACCAGTCACCTTCTGACCACCAGCTTGGCATCCTAACTCATTCTTATGAGTTCATTTGTGGAAAATCAAGCTCTGAGTGAGATTAATGTGTACAGACATTTTCTGTAATTTTACTGTATAAAGGTTAGTGTGTGAGAGGAGAATGGAAATGTTGGCATTTGAGACCTTGGTGTCCTTAGCAGGTTGGACACCCACATAAGCTGGGAAGGAACTGATGACTCTTATACACAAAACACACATTATTTCTCCCTGGATAGACTTTCTGGAGGTGTAGAATCCCTGTGCCAGCAGGTCATGGTAAAGGCTGCCAGTCTGGTGCTCAGCCCTGACCCCTGGTGGTCAAAGAGTTGGCCCATCGGTCAATGTCAACATGTACGTTATAGGGGTGCACCGAATTTGACCTATACTGATAACCGATATCTTTTTGTGTAATATTAACTATATAACTGATTCCATTAACAGATCTCGTTAATGTGTGTAGCAGCCATATCGTATAACGCAGGCAGTGAAACGTCAGCGAAGTAGCACCGACTTGGGAGACTGTAGTGAGGTTCTAAGTGGCGAATGAGCTGATGGAATCCCACACAAATGGCTGATGGTCCAATGCAATCACCACTATTTTAGGAGCTCTGTCTTTAGCTCTGGTGCTGCTAACTTTAAATTCTGACTAAAGTCTAAATATCGACGAAGATTAACAATTTCGTTGATTTTCAGCGAACATTGGGCGATACTGATATATTGTGCTTCTCTAACACATTCCCATGATGCAGCTATAACAGTGAAGACCTTCTCCCCGTAGGATACCATAACATGGCATCTGCTCTGGGGAGGTGGACACCTGTCCCCTCCTCCACTTGCCCTCCTCCCTCACACTCACGCTTTGGTCACCGCTCAAGCAGAAAGGAAACTCTGGTCCACTCAGCCCAACCTGTGATCACGTAGGTCTTCTAACGCGAGAAAGTCAAAGATCCCCGGGATTAGTTTCGAGCTCCATCTACAGCGTCTTTGTATAAAATCACTGTCACGCTGCGGCCTGCTGATTCATGGTTTTTAATTAGTGAAATATCATTGGTCCTTTGGGGCACATTGAGACCTACTGTTATCTTTCAGTCTTTTTTCTTGGTTGTTAAATGATGACACTTTCATCCTAGGAGTGGATTACACCATCTTGGAGAGCAAAGGGACTAGGTGAAGTTATTTATTACAACGACAGAGATTGAAGGTCGTGTTACTGTCTAGCGTGGAGAGGGTGGAGGTAGCAGACCAATAACTAGTACATTGGGTGGACTTAGGTGGAATTTTGTGAGCATTGCGTTGTGTCGTCCTTCTCCGCCTACATTGTTGGGGGTGTAGGTATCTTGCAGCCTTTTCATGAATAATGTAGGCCTCCCTGCCACAGTTAGCAGGTGTTTCCTGCTTGCAAGAGGTGGTTCTTGTGTGGCCAGTCATCCGCTGGGGCCCCCACTTGTACCATTGTACCTTGTATCATGTGTCTGATCGGGTCATAGAAATGGAATCTCAGTCCTGAAGGCCTACCTAAGCACTACAGAATCGTGTGAGCTTGTAGGTTACCGTTCTTTGGTCATATGTTGAAGTTTGGATGTAATTCAGGAACTTAAAGGGTTAAATGGGGCTGCCACATGCATGTTCAGTGACTGACAGACGCTGCAATGACTTCAGAAATGGTCCCATTAAAAATTAGCCTTTGTACCCGTCTAGCAGGTTGGCAGTACTGAGCAAAGATTTACCTGAAAGTTCCCATGGAAACAAATTTCAGGCGTGAAAATGTGGAGATCTTTTGTCATGCAAAGAAAACCCATTCTGTCAGGGATGAAACTGAGGTCTTCCCTGTCTTATCTTTCTTCAAATCATTTATCAAATTGTACTTTTAATGTTTCAGATACAGGATTAGTCTGACTCGCTGTATTTCCTCCTTTTCACCCAGGAGAATATCCGCAGCGTGGCTGTCATGGTGACTCTCAGAGGTGACCTGTCCCTATGGTCACTGGCTAGGTTTTATACCTGCACCAGTGCTGCCCTGTTGTTTTTGCTTTGCCCAGTACTCCATACCGCCTGCAGGTTTGTCTCCCCAGTCTGCAACTCTGTGAAAACCCAGTTCTGTTCTGGTTGTCATGGTTTGGATTCGTGTGCCTGTGTGATGAGCCCTGCCCCCCATCATCAGACGCAGCAGTCGCCTGCTGAAAGCTCGCCCGGCGAAGCCCATCCTGCTGAAGACCTCCCAAGCGATGTGCCGTCCTCCGGCGGACAGGCTGGGGGCAGCATATGGTGTGAGAGCCCCGGGCGGCTTGGAACGGACAGGCGAGCAGCCGGCCCGGTTTCAGAGGCCCGGATCTGAGCCACAGCCTGGCGCCGAGCTCTCGCAAGGTTCCACAGACTCTGCATCATACCTTCGCAAGGTTCCACAGACTCTGCATCATACCTGAAGTTCCTCGTAGCTTGTGTCACTGGCACAGAATATCCACGGTAGTCATTCGCGGTAACGACATGCTGCCCCATAATTGCGTACTAAACCATCAGATTTATTGCGTTTCATTGCTGTGGATGGAAAGTTCTCCTAAATTGGTATGATCATAGGATCTCTGCTCGCTGTACCTGCGACGCATCTGGTACTGGCAGTAGAAGAAGTGGCTGCTGTGATGTTTATGGGCACTTCTGTTCGCGGCTGGAATGCTGGCGCGGTACAGCGATAGCACCAAAACGTTCCCCCAGATTCCATGTTCTTTGTGAGGCACAGCCCGGCCTCGGCCTCCAGGCTCGGCGCGGACGCTTCCCATCGCTCCCCTGACCGTTCCCCGCTTTTTGTGACCTGCCCATTCATGGACATGGAGAACATCGCCAAGCAGAGCAGGGAGGGATGTCTGGATGCGTCCCTTGTATCTCCTGTACCTGGAAATCCAGGAAGTGAGTCACAGCTCAGTAACACTTAAAGCAGTCATATAATAGCATTTTTCATACCCTCATAATGCATTATGATGCATTCATGAAGTATTATAAACACGGCTATAACTATTTATAAAAAGGCATAACATATTATAACCATGTTCATTATGCAACCATGTTCATTATGCATCATGAATGCTCTCATCTGTAATGCACTATAAATACCTTCATATTGCATTATACTGACATTATAATTCATTACGAAGGTCTGTATAGAGCATCATAGATGAGAGCATTCGTAATGCATAATAAACATGGTTATAATATGTTATGCCTTTTTATAAAAATTTATAGCCATGTTTATAATGAATTATAATGTGTTATGAATATGTGCATGGATACTTATAAGCATGGGCTTCATAGAAAGTTTCTAGAACAGCTCTTCCTAATTCATTCTTAGAGAGTGGCATGAGGCATATGTGAGCGGCGTTGTAAATGTAAAGCCTGGAGTGAGGATGGAGTCACTCTGTTACTCCGTCACCCGTCACTCTGTACAGACCGTGCTGCAGGGTGGCAGGTGTGAATGTTCCTCACTGACACCTGGAGGCTTGGATTAGCTGCTTCAGTGTGAGAGTGAGCATGACACCTTCCGGCACTAATAGTGCTCCCTGTCACGTACGCTTAATGCCGGCGGAACGTCGCGGCGACTTTGCGTTGTGTTGAACAGCCTTAAAGCTGTTAATCAGAAAGCATCAGCATGCCGCAAGAATCACGGTGAAAGTTATTGGTGAGCTCAGACTCAGACACAGAAATGTGTTGCGGCATATCATAGAGACTCTATGGTGATGTGTGAGGGGAGACAGCTGGTCGCCGTGGAGACGGCGAGGGCGCGGTCCTGAGCAGATGGCTCCTTTACGTGGATGCCGCGGCCCCCGGTGGCCCTTTAATCTGCATGTCTGCGGCACTCAGGGATTCGGCGATGGCTAGGTCCCGTGACTGCCGCACTCACACACTCATTTATGTCAGAAAGGGATCGTGGCAGTAATGAATAAGGAACTTAAATGATGCCCGATGAATACACATGGTACATCGGAATTCTTTAGTGTTTTGCATAAGCCACCTTGCTTTCTTTCAGACATATAGACACGTACAGCTGTCCATCCAGCGCCTCTGAAGGGTTTTGTTTGGGTGGGGGCACTAAGGCACTAAGACCTAACCCACTGAGCCATTCCGCGCCCCCTGCGGTGGAGTAGATGGCCTTTAAGTCATGGTTTTCAAAGGTCCTCTGTACAGGTTTCATCACCAGTCACTGTCCAGGAGGCGCAGTGTGTTCATGTCGCAGAGCCGTATAAGCATGACTGTGTCACTGTAAGGTTCTTTGTGGGAATCGTGTAAAAAGCCACGGTACTTATTGCATTTGGCTACCTTTCTCTTCAGCAGAAACACACCACATTCACGCCTGTGGTGTGAGGTCACAATTTGGGATGCATGGTGACGCGCCCCTGACGTGTGCCCGCCCCTGACGTGTGCCCGCCCTGACGTGTACCCGCCCACCTTGACGCGGCCCTGACGTGTGCCCGCCCTGATGTGTGCCCGCCCACCTTGACGCGGCCCTGACGTGTGCCCGCCCACTTTGACGCAGCCCTGACGTGTGCCCGCCCTGACGTGTGCCCGCCCTGACGTGTGCCCGCCCTGACGTGTGCCCTTGGCGATCTCAGCTCCCATGCATGTTTATTTTTAATGGTCAGGTCATTTATGGAGTGTGATTAGTCACATTTTATTTATTTTAGCAGGCAATTGGGGCCCAATGGTGACCCTGGGGTTTTAACTGACGAGCTTCTGATCACGGGTACAGCATGGTCACTCATTGAGCCACACCTGACTGCCCTTTATTATAAAGCTTTCTTGGCTGCACCCAGCAGTGCCACGTTTGTGGTGTACAGCCGTAACTCAAACCCACATCGTCGGCTACGTGTTTTCTCCCGATTTCGTGTGAAGCTGGGCCTGCCATCTTCTCCACGGGTCCCTGATCCAGCTGTGCTGCTTGTCTGCAGGTGCTGGAGAAGTACCCGAATACTCCTATGAGCCATAAGGAGATCCTACAGGTCATCCAAAGAGAAGGACTGAAGGAGATCAGGTAAGCATGCGTCCCGCGAGGAGCCGCTTGAGCAGGTCACCGCGGGGTCAGATGCAGAGAATAAGCATGTTGAGACAGTGTGCTGTTCGCGGTCACTGTGCCCCCCCCTCCCCCCCTCCCATACACAGACAGCGTCACATCTCCAGCCCACTTTGTTTCCATGTTCGATGTCTTTGTGTAAACAAGCACAACGCCTTTCTGGAGTAGTCTGGGAAAAGAGGCCAGGTGTTCTGTTACTGGTTGGGAGGGGGGGGGGGTCGTCTGTTGCTTTCTGTCCCCTCCAGCTGATAATGAGAGCTTGTAATTGCCAATTTCCCAGTTATTTCCCTGGGGGAGTGGGGTGGGGAGGGTTGTAAACACGGGATAACTATGTCCTTTGGGGAAACTTGCACTTTTCACTGAGGTCGAGTCAGCCAGTCTGCACTACGCCGCACAGCACGGGCACCATTAGAGGACTGCGTGGTTTTATTAATCCTTTGATTTTATTCTCTGGGCGTGCTGTCACTTTGATCATCAGCCATTGTCATCTTCAGTACCAGATGAAATGCAGCTTCCCTGATCTTATTCTGTGGGGACAGTGGATTCTCAGCAGGGACACACTGTCCATCAAGAAGTGCTGAGGTGATGGTGTCCGCAGGGGAGGTCAGACTTTACATAGGGTTGTGGAAGGAGCCCCTGGCCCACAGGCACCCCGTTAAGGCTTTATGTCCCCCGTTTGTCACCTTTTCTAGCATGTTGCAGGTGTCTTTTACACTCACAATGGCCGACGCTGCCTGTCTCTCTGCTTCGTCAAAAGTTCTTAGGCCCCCTGTCAGCCTGTCTCATGCTGTTACCTGTGCAAGACAAACCCCCACCCAGGGCCCCAACAAGGATGTCCGGGGGGGTGGGGGCGATTTGGAAATAAATCTGTACCAGTAACACCAGTTGACCTTGCAGCTTGTCCTAGCGGGACGCTTTGTTAAACCGGCCTTTAGACAGCATCTACTCGTGTTGTCATTACAGGCCGTCGAAATTGCCCTGAAATTGCATTGTGCAGAAATCGATTTGGGGCGGGCTCTGTTTTAGTGCCAGGAAGGTTGGTTTCCTTGGCAACAGGATACACTCGCTGATGAAGCGAACACAGGGGAAGTGATTGTTTTTAATTTCAAGTATAGGTGATATGTACCATATTCCTGCGATTAGCAGAGACTGGGTTGGTCTCCACCCTGAAGGCTGGTACTGAAAATGAACATTTTGCGCAGCGTGATTAATGTGACGCTTCCTTTCCATAAAGTTTTCACAAGGTACTGTGCTCCATAACCTGACGCAGGGAGTCTCATGCCCCTTTTAGCTAAAGACCAGGAAGTCAGGGTGAAATTTGAAGGCAGTGGAGAAGGAGCCGCAATCGCTCACGGTGTGTTATACCCAATAAATGGCTGCATCTGTGGACGCTTTTCCAAAAGTAGAATTCAGTCACCTTCTTCTCACGGGGCCAAGAAATAATTATAGTTTTTCCCCTACCGTTGCTTTTTTCCGTTCTTTGATCTCCTGGAGAAATATAAAATCACCATAATGTGTTTTGTGAAAACACTAAATTACCCAATATTAGATATAATTAGGTAGCATTGCTAGGCTGTGTTGAGTTAGCCGATAGACATTTGACCTGATATGTCTCCCTGCTTATTGAGGAGTTCCCTCACTTATCCCAGTTATACTGTGCTGGAAAGTATGTCTGGTTCTTCGATACTGAAGAATGTTTATCTTTGTGATACAAATGGCAGTAAGCTTCGAAACACACCTTGAAAGCTGGGTCCCTGGGAGCAGACTGTCTTTATTTAGTCAGAAAGCCTGAGATGGGAGTGCCTCTTAATCCCAGCTGGTTAACCTACACTGGACGTGTGATGCGACCCGGTTGCTGGTTAAACCACCACCTACTGCAGAAGTGAGTTTCTGCTTTGGGTTTGGGTTGTTTTTTACTGTATCAGGCTAGTGCATTTACTTTGGCTTTAAACATACAGGGTTATAACCTGAGATCTGTGATAAATCCTAGTTTACAGTGCGACTTGTCACCTAAACTGTCAGGGGAATGTGATCCTGTGGCTGCCTTACCAGTTAGCCCATGGACCTCAGTACAACATCATGAGGCTGAGATGTTTCTCTCTCCACATACGGTATCCCTGCTCTTTGCACTGAAGTCTTCATTTTAGTCTTTCAGATTTGTATCTAGTCTGAGAATCCCTTCCAGAAACACCACTGATAGTTTCCAGGATGTTCCTCATCACTTGTTCTCCTATAATGGCTGTAGCTTTCGGCTCTGTCTGCCCAATGGGCCTTTAACCCTTTGCAGGATGCGGGCCCTCACTGTGCTGAGCGGGTGCCACTTACCTCGTTCCCCAGATTGATTTCCTGACTTTTTTTTTTTTTACCCTGATGTGCCTGGAGTTTCTCTCCATGAGGTTCTAATGGTTGTGTTTCTTTGTTTTTTGGTATCATTGTCTCTGTCCTGCAGAAGGTAAGATGAACTTCTTTTAACTGCTTTAGATGCACTAACCCCACGTTTTGTTCCTGGTTTTGTTTTCCGCTGCATGGTGTTGACAGACTGCCCCCCCCCCCCACGGCAGATCCTTGCTGTCTGTAGTACCGAACAGAGACTGCTCCGTTCATGAAAATGGTCTTGGCGTCTGTATATTTTTATCTTTTTAATTTGCAAGTGAAGACCATCTTCATCTTGGCAGCGAGCTCTAACAAAAGGCAGCATGCTTCTCCTCATGGGACTTAGCGAATGGTTTCGTTAGGCTCGGCCAGCTGCTTCTGTTTTCTTTGCCTGAATGTGAACCGTTTTGGGTGAGTCCCCCCCCCCCCCCCCCCCCCACGTCTGAAGCGTGTGTAGCTGTGTTCTGTAGCTGTGTTAGTATTCCCTGTGTGCTTCCGTGTGTCATGTCTTACGCCGTGTGTCACGTTTGCCCCTTCGACACCCCCGCACACCTACACCGTCAAGGGTGCCGCCAATGTAACGCGTTCACACGTAAAGCCCTGCGGCCCAGTGATTGGCTGTTGTCTGTCAAGACACGGGCCAGCATGTGTGCCAAACGGGTGATTGTTCAAGGCAGGAGAGGTGGTGATGTTCACTCATACCCTCTGAGAACAGCACCCCCTCCTGGTCAGGGGCTAGAAACAGGAGTATTTTAATATACACAGTATGATTCCATGCAGCAAGTAAGAGAACACAGGGGGACTTCAACAGAACATGGTCAACAGCTGTACGTGTTAATATTTGGATAATACTAACATTATAATAATTCATGAATTTAGTAGTTGCACATTAACATTTCATCCACGACAAAACAGCCTGAGTGTTAATATTGTTTAGACAGTGGATTCATGTGCCTGTTGAATAAGTAAGAAATAACAGCCTGTTGCGTCACCTGTAGTAAAGCACCCTTTCCGAGGGAGGACTTGTGTCTGAGCCGCGGATTTGGAGACACGGCGCCGCGTTAATCCCGCCGCTCTCCCGCGGGGCACAGAACCTGGAGCCGTGGCGGGGCAGTAACGGACCTTCCCTCCTTCTTAGTGGGACCTCGCCCCTGGCCTGCCTCAACGCCATGCTGCACACCAATTCCCGAGGGGAGGAGGGCATCTTCTACAAAGTGCCCGGCCGCATGGGAGTCTACACGCTCAAGGTGGGTGTCGGCTGTCATTCTGGATTGTGCACCGGGGGGGGGGGGGGGGGATTGTGAGGCAGTGCTTTCAGTGTGTCTGTTCCATGCTGGTTTCATGCAGAAGGAATTCTTCGTGTAATAACATTCTTGATCTTTTGCTTGTTTTAATTTATAGTGTCTTTAATCAGTCTTGACTCCACTCCTTTGCAAGCCCTTGCTTTTACGCTGATTGTTCTTTTTTGGAATTCCACTTTTAAATTTTGGTAGTTTTTATTCCCGATAAATTGCCCGGGGGGGTGCTGACAGTGAAGCACACCTGGGGTGCCACATGGGCCTCGACCTGCCCTGCCTGGGACTCTGTGAAACCTGCAAGTGTCCTATTGGCTGCCTGCCATCTGAGCAACGAGAGTGTATAACGTGCGAGTAGGGCCGGGGCAGCCTGCAGGATCAGCCACGATTGGGTCGAGGAGGGGGCCACTGCCACCCCCACACCTTCACCTACTGCCTGTGCTGGGCGTCAGGGGGACTGCCTGGTAGTGAGCATATCGGTAGGTGTGATCATCCATGGGTCCTGAGCCCTGGCTGCTCCACCTCCTCTGTGTGTGTGTGTGTGTGTGTGTGTCTGTGTGTGTGTGTGTCTGTGTGTGTGTCTGTGTGTGTGTGTGTGTGTGTGTGTGTGTGTGTGTGTCTGTGTGTGTCTGTGTGTGTCTGTGTGTGTGTCTGTGTGTGTCTGTGTGTGTGGTGTGTGTGTCTGTGTGTGAGGTGTGTGGTCTCCCCTGCGCTCAGATGGCCCCTCCCACAGCCTCCCTGGTCAGAGTGTAATTGCAGTTCACAGGTAGCTTCAGTCCCAATGCCTTGAGCTGGGCTTCCTCGCTCTGGCTGGCGGTGGCGTGGGGCTTCTCCCCCCCACCTGTAAGCCATCTGCGCCGCTGCAGCGGACCCGAATCAATCCGTCCGGCTTGAGGAGGCCAGCGCCACGTTCCCCTTAAATCTGTTGGCTCTGGAGGCTCTCGCTCAGCCGTGTCCAATGACCTTTGGAGTTCCCCATTATCCTCAATGATACAGAGACTCCATCACCACTTTAAACATATATGGTTATAATCTGAGATCTAAGAAAAGCTTAGTTTACTCTGCCAGCACCCCCCACACACAGCTCCGAGCCCCACAGTGCATGTCCTGAATTCCTGTTGATCACAGTGATGATGAGGATTATTATTATTATTATTATTATTATTATTATTACACTATTCAGCAGTATAACTGCTGCTGGAAAGTGGTTGTTAATCATCAGCATATGTTCGCGTTTGGAAAAACCAACGTTCAGACAATTTCCCAGGATATTTGGGAAAATGCTTGGTTAATCAGTGAGACTGTCCCATTTCGCCCTTTAGATCGTCTCAGGATTGCATCTGAAAGGGTTTGTTTACAGTGGAGCGGTAGCTGCAGGCTGACACATGGTACAGGGTATCCTTTTTTAATGAATACGTTTATCCGGGCCTAACCCAGTGCTTCTCAACCCGGCCCTCGGGGAACCCCAGACAGTCCGTGTTTTTGCTAAGCCGTGGACTCTCTGGCAGGACCTCCCTCAGGACCTTGTTGAGAAAATCTCGTTTAACCTCTACTTCATTTTGCTGCCGGAATGAAGACTCACGTCTCCCTTTCATGTGGGAATGTGGTAAAACAAACACACACACACACTCTGAATCGCCATAAATCTCCACTAAGAGCGTACAGTGAAGCTGCTCAGTATAAATCTGCCTAAAGTCATCTCTCAAAAGCTGAGCAGCAGGGCGGCTTTGCTCAGATTTCCCAGAATTCAGTTCAGCGTTATACTTCCCAAAAAAACTGATAACTTATATGGGTCACTGGACTGGATAATAGATTTATGGACTGTTTGGAAGGTTAGATGGATGAATGGATGGACCAACAGGTGAACAACCTTTTTTCAGGGGCACTAACATAATATCTGTGTATAAATGCTTATGACTTGCATGTGATGTCATATCCTGCAAGGCCTCATGGATCCTAAGAACATTACAGCAACCAGCCTGACAGGACTTTATAACACCGTTTTAGAACAAACCAGTCGGTGTTGCCTTTATTGCCATATTGTAAAATGTTTCTGCGCTAATGGGCATCAAGTCAAACGGTAGTAAGCAAAGCAAACGAGTGACCCTCCTGTCCCTGGTTAAAAGGGTCTCTGTGTATTTCTGCAGTCGGTCTGCACTGATGCTGCTACATTAGATTCAAAGGTTACAATGGCAGAATCTCAAAGGTATCAGGCTTGTCAGACTCTATACATACAGATATCACTACATCAGAAGCATGTCTGACTTGATCGAGAAGGAAAACTAGCAAACATTAATGTGTTTATCTGCTCTGTCAGATAAACCCTGGAGCTTGCCAAAGGCATTGTTGAGGAAATGATGCCTTTGATATCTGAAAGCGGAGTCCTTTCTCCATACCGCCTCCCAGACAGGACGCAGAACATCTCGGCTTTGTAGCGAGGCTCCTCACATCTTGGACAGGCTGCCCTGTCAGAAACGATCCTTTATTTGCCATTTGCACAAGTACGTCAGACTTCTTTAGTTTTCACGTATCCTGTCTCGGTCTCCTTTGAGATACACATTCAGCTGAGAGCAATGCTTAGGGCTTGAGCACGGGGTCAGCCTTTTGTCTGCCGTCCTTGGAGCATTTCAGGGGCTTGATGGCCTTGCTCAACCACCCAGCGGAGAAGAGATTATTCTGCCGAAGACAGGATTTGTAGTGGTGACCTTCTGATTGCAGGACCCTGACCCACAGTGGCGCACATCACCTTGTAAGCTTCTGCCCTTGGGCCATTTTAGTGCCCTGTTAAAGTCTGGGCTCTACTATCGAAGCTGAAGCTTCCAGAAAGTATCTACAAAAGGCCGAGAAGGTGAACATCAGCAGCCGTCAGTCTGTGTGATTTCATGGACTCTGGCGGAGCCTCAATTTGGCATTAAGCCATGGCACTGGGGTGGATTTCCCTAAAGCAGAGTTGTTCCTGCATAGCTGGAACAAATGCAACTTGAGTCCAAGTAAGTAAGTTGCTAACGGGAGAACGGTAAGAGTTCATCGTTAGGCGCTGTTCTCGGATGAGCTGCGTGATGAGTGATTATGCAGTTCGTGTTTCGATCTGCTCTGCTCTGCCGGGGGGATCGGGAATCACCCTCAGTGGCTTTATCGATCCCTCTAAGCAGCAACTTATCTGCCACGTGCGTCCTAGCTAATCCACCCCCACCTCGCACCCTCACTGTCCCCTGTTTGACCCTGCAGGGGAAGTTCAGGTTTCTACCTGACGTCCTGTGTTCTGCCGTCACTGTTGTCAGTGGAGACGAAGATCTGCATCCAACTTTATATTGGCTGTTACTTCTCTTAAAATATTTGTAAATGTTTCTAGTACATTTCCACCTTATATGTGGTGCTCATGTACATATGGTGTATATTGTATACAGATTTTCAGAGTGCCCCAACAGGACTGAGTGCACGATTTGCTGCAGTGTCCTGACAGTACCGAGCCTGAGGATGTGAGTCTATGTATTTCGGTGCCAACAAGCATTTTTCAGAGAAGCCATATTCAGACGGGCTACAGTCCTGAGGATTGCAGTGTATATAAACAGTGATATGCGGCTCAGCAGGTTTGACCACTGTGCTTATGATCAGATGGTTGCTGGTTCTAATCCCAGGGTCAGAGTGATTTTACTGTTGGACTCTTGAGCAAGATCCTTTAAACCCCAGTTTTAAGCCCCAGGAATTGTCTGATCCTGCTTCCTCAAAGATGTACATTGCATTGGACACAAGTGTCTGAAATTAATAAAATGTAAATGACAAGTGGGGCATCTTCCTGTAGGGGGCGACATTTAGGCTCATCAGCATCTTTAAGGTTTCGCACTTGGTTACAGTCGAAGGTATAAATTGACCCAGCTTACAGCAGACATCCATGGGGATGGTCCTTCACAGCCAGTGAATGAGCCAGGACTGGTCACTGGCAATTATGGGGCTGATCGATAAACTAAAGGCCAGCTGGGCTGTATCCCTGGAGGCCGCTGCCCCTCTGAACATTACACTGAAGCTGTCATAAGGTACATTAAAGGGAGCAAAGAGTAACAGAGGGAATTCAGGAGTGAAGTAAGCAAGGAAAAGGCATCTCACTGGCACAGAACCACACTCCAGTGACAAGTCAGACCAACGCAGTGACGTCATGGGGGTGGGGGGGAAGCAGGACAACCTGGAAGCTGCGTAGCCTGACTTCATATCTGCTGTGCATCTGCCGGTGGAGGGTGTGCCAGTGCCAATGTTTGGAAAGAAGACTAAGTTTATTTAAAAGATTAACAGACGTTTAAGCCGCAATGGACAGTATAGCTAATCCTGCTTCCAGAAACACAGGTTAATCCCCCAGAGCGCCACGTGACCGCAGCTGTTTCTATATAAAGTATGTGTCTTACCTCACCAAAGCCCAGAAAACATGGCTGCATGTCAAGAGCTCCCTTTTCGCAGTGTCCGCTGTGCCAGGCTAGTCTGGGTGACCCTTCAGAATCTGACATTCTAGCCGTTTCTCTTGCTCCTTCTCCCTGCTCCTCTATGAAAGGAGGCATTGTCAGGTGGATGGATTTCCAGTAGCTCATCACACTAGACGGAGAAACTGAACTCTTCTTTGTAACAAAGCCCGGATCCGCGGTCTGTCTTCGCCTAATAATCTGGATGTCCACATCCAGGGCAGGCCATGGAGTCAGTGCAGTGTTCGTTTCTGGTGCGCAACATTACTGTGGACTGGGATCCCCCCGTAGATAATGGTCGCTAAACTTTGGTGCTGTGCCTAATCTTCAAGAAAAATATACACAGGGAAAAAACAGATGAACGTCCCGAGATGCTAAGGCCTTAGGAGGTCTGTTAGCCTGTTAGCCTTAGGAGGTCTGTTAGCCTTAAGATGTCTGTTAGCCTGTTAGCCTTAGGAGGTCTGTTAGCCTGTTAGCCTTAAGAGGTCTGTTAGCCTTAGGAGGTCTGTTAGCCTGTTAGCCTTAGGAGGTCTGTTAGCCTGTTAGCCTTAGGAGGTCTGTTAGCCTGTTAGCCTTAGGGGGTCTGTTAGCCTGTTAGCCTTAGGAGGTCTGTTAGCCTGTTAGCCTTAGGAGGTCTGTTAGCCTTAGGAGGTCTGTTAGCCTAGAATGTGACAAGCCAGGCTGGCTGACACTATGCTGTGTAGCAGAAATGGCATCTAAGGTGAGCCTGTTGTATGACATACAAAGCATTGTTCAGGAAGTTTCTGCAGATGTCTCACTACCTTTTTGTGACACTATTTGATTAGTGGTTTTGGTTTTATCTTTCTGTGACCCAGTGATGGACTGATGGATGGACTGATGGATGGACGGATGGATGGACTGATGGATGGAATGATGGATGGACAGAGGATTTCTGAGATCTAGCTGACAAAACCAACAAAATTAGAAAATATGACTAGCAACACAGTTTCGTTACTTTGTTGAATGACACAGCAAGCCTCTCTGTATGCATTTGTATGATCTGTTTTAATTAAGATATCGCTACTCCCTGGCAGATCAAATAGAAGAAAAATAAAGAATAACTTGTCATATTCAGATAAAGATTTTATTTTAGTCTGCCATGTACTATTGTCAGCATTGTCAAATCATGAGACAGTATTCACTGTCATGATGGAAATTGGATTTTCTGTCCCAGTTTCAGAATGTTTCGGGCTGTTTAAAGCTTTGAAGCTTCCAGTCCCTGGATCATGTCAAGCATATGATAAGAGGCTGTGAGGATTATATATCATATAACTGACAGTTCACTTTGGAATAGCCAGTGGGCGTAATACCTCTGATTTAAATGTAATTGTTTCAGCTACTTGTTTATTAGCGTGACACCCGAGTCATAAATGTATTCCTAACCCTTTCCATGCTCTGCAGTCAATGTCCAAACAGTCTGACACTGGCAGCTGTCCATGCTCCACATCAGAGGATGATGTAAGAGGTCATTTTGGCATCCCGTTTGCGTTGGTGAGGGCTAAATGCGCCCCCCCCCCACTGCATGCTTCTCTGTTCAAAGCCCCAGCCTGTCAGGGTGATTGGCGGCTCTGGCTGACAGCAGCAGCCTCATCTCCGGCGCCCCGGTCCCTCTTCTATCACCGTGGTGTTTCTCCTGACCTAAGACGAGATTTATTTATTTTTTGTTCCATCAGGGGAACACGACCATGAACAACAAAGAAGTGACTTATAATGTGGGTTTTAAGACAATCGAAAGAACAGCTCCGAAGCAAGGTTCTTCCCTGGGAGCTGCTTTGACATTTGAAAGATCCCTAAGTATATATACACCGAGGCAGAATCCTGCCTTTGTGGTAGGTGCAGCAGGGATGACAGGATGCAGGGATGTTTTAGAGATCATAATATAGGGCTGTAACAATGCAGGCGCTGTTGGGAAAACGCATTTTTATTTAGGGGGGCTGAGTTAGAGAGCATTGCGGTCACATGTCCACCGGCCGTCCGGTATCCACCGGGCCCGATCACCGCTCTCTGCAGACCATCCGCTTCATATGTCATCTGTCTCCGCCCCCGGCTGCCATGGTGGCATCTATAGCGGGGGCCCACGGATGTGCGGACTGAGTCAGCGGCTTACTGAGGGCTGAATAACATCTCGGCTAATCGCTCCTCCAGGAATGGAGAAAGCTGTGAGACCGGGACAAAGCCTGTTGATGTTTAAAAGCTTCATCGTGATTGGTGCAGACTTCTTCTCTGAGCCGTGGTGGGCATGCCCAGTGTAGTGCCCAGTTAAATTAGTGAAGAATGGTTTTTCAGTAATAAAGTAATTTGGGGTGTATTGTAAATACCATGGGAATGGGTAGTCACACAGTGTAGTATTTTACATTTTATTTGTTTAGTTGTTGCTTTCATACATACTATGGGGAGACCATGGTGGAAACCATTCTGCTGGCCATGGGATTTGAACCAGCAATCTTCTGGTCACAGGCACAGCCCACATACCACGCCTCTTTAGTTTGGGTTTGTCTTACTGGGTGAGAACATTCATGATGAATTGGTTGTATCTGATTTTATATTGTGATTCTGTAAAGCATAGATCAACAGTGAAACTACTACATAGACATTCTTCTGATTCGCTGCTCCCAGCAGCATAACCTTTGACCCCTTGAGCTTGGCTGCTTGCATCGTCGTCGCCATCTTGCCTTTCGTTAATCAGAGGTGACTTCTGTTGCATTTCCAACAGAAAGACATCTCTGACGGCACGAAGGACCTGTTAGAGGAGGCCTCAGAGGAAACCAGCGACTCTAACGCTGCCTCGGATTCCCAGAGCCCGGAAAATGGCAGCAACCCCAAGGAGAGTGGGAAGGGCAAGTGGAAGAGAAGAGGTAAGAAATGCCACTCCGGCCTGGCTCAGGGTGCCTACTGGGGTCTCCAGTCTTGTTCAAATGCATTTCACTCATTTATCAGACGCTTTCATCCAAAACATACAACTACGGGGTCAGACAGTCTCTGGAGCAATTGAGGGCTAAAGGTCTTGCTAAAGGACCCAACAGTGAAATCACTCTGCTGACCCTGGGATTTAAACCTGCAACCTTCCGATCACAAACATCATGTCCTGAGCTGCTGAACCATACTTCACCCCCCACTTAAATACTTAAATAGTGAAATCTTAGTATGTTTTATTTTGTTGACGCAATGGAAAATTTGCTTATATAAAACCATAATGGGATTGGTTCCCTGGCCTTGCGAGCGGACCGAGACTCGAATAGAATTCTGTGTACAAAACCGCCAGCTGCAGGTAGATACGAAGGTCAGGTGTGGGTGCTGGCTTTGGCAGAACTGGCCCATAATCAGAGGTCAGCAGCACCAGGCCGTGTTCCCTTGGCAACACCCCACAGATCATGAATGCTGCAAACGCTGTGTGTGAAGAGGAAGGAGCCAGCTGACAATGCACAGCACCGGCGCTCTATGGAAGGCCGTACCGGCAGCTGCTGGACGCGCTGCTTCTGCGCCGTGCAGCTGCAGCCTGCAGCCAAGCCCGGTAAATGGCGCGTAGGTGCATCTGTCGGTGCTGCAGCTTGCCGGTGAAGCCACTCTCACACCGATGCTAAACGCGCTAATTGCACGCACGGCTCGTTTTTGTTTTTTGGGTTTTTTTCTCTCTCGCCAAACGAGCGCCCCAGAACAGGAAGCAGTGCCTCCGATAACATCTGTGACCACTTCCTCAGACACGAATGTATGGACGGATGTTCGACACAACATTAACGTCACCCGAAAGCCAGCTGCCGTCACCGCGCTGCATTCCGCTTCTCCCGGGTGATCGTCTGCAGGCCATGCAGAAATGCCGTTAGTAAGCAGCAGGGCGGACTGAAGCTTCAGCTTCAGGAAGGAGCCTTTCGGAATCCAGCAAGGTGACTGAAAATGTTCAGTAGACAGCAGCTGGTGGACCATCTTCCATGTAAGTTCCCCGCAGTGGAGACTGGGGATATTTTAGAGGGGAACTTGTCTGGTTGCTGATTTTTCCCTTTCTGCACGAGCGGTACGTACCCTGTATACTCACCCGGTTAGTGTGCGTTAGTAGCCAAGGCTCATTTACAGCCCAGATAATTACTGACAAGAGGGTTAATACAGTCATGCCTTTGATGGCTGTTCAGATGACTGCTGCAAATCTGCTCATATTAATTTAAGAGGTATTACTGACAGGTCGTTAATGTGGGTGGTCTGCTTGTGTTTATGAGTGAATTAATTCCCCCTGGGTAACGGACCACACAAACCACTGAAGAATAAAGCAGCAGTATCAGTACAATGCTGGACTCTCTCCCTGATTTGCATTTTTGAGGAGAGTATAAAATAATATATGAATCATAGGAGATAGCAGGCGGACCGGAGAACGTTTGGGCCATAAAAACGGGAAGCCGGAGCCAAGCCGTGCAGATTCTCTGAGCTCATGCTGCAGCTGGTACCGTCCCAAGAACCAGAGAACACATGTAGTTACTTTGATATGGACACCTGTCTTTAATATCAGTGTTGTACTTGATGACACCCAGAAAGACGTCTGTCTTGAATAAACATCTGCCTTGACAGTTTGTCGAAGACCTGCCAGCTAGAAGCTTTCTGCACTGACGCTCATAGATATTGACTTTTAAACCGACGATCTTTGCTACTGAGGAATCGCTTTATATTTTGTGACAATGTTTTTTTCCTGTTGACTGCAAATCTACCGTTACTGTGCCTTTAAAAGCTAAGTTCTCGAATTTTGAGCAAAGAGGAAAGGGTTTCTTTTTTTGGTTAGCAGTGTGGAAAGCAAGGGGAAGAGCAGCTGTGAGCTGCAGTGTGAATGCAGGACTCTAAAGCTGGTTTTGATTGCGCCTGTCTGGTCATCAGTCTGCCTGTGGAAATAGATTTCACTCTTATGTTATTAGTGCTGAAATTTCCAGTTTACACCACAAAATTAGAAGTACATCAGAGCATGCCAGTGTCTCCCAGCGGCATTGTTATGATTACACAAAGCGCCTGGTGAGCAGATGTGCATCTGGCTGGTTATCCCCTCTGCTCTGTTTGCCGAGGAGATCACATGACCACTCTGGATCATATGACAAGCCTGCTCTGTCCAGCAGAAAGCTATATGTGTGTGAGTGCGTGTGTATGAAAGATTGCTGAGATCCACGTGTGTGCAGTGCTCTGCGGATGTGTAAAACTAATTTCTAATTAGGATCCGGGAGATTTACATTTATTTATGTTTCAGATGTTTTTGTTCAAGGTGATGTGGAAGTGAATAAACCTTCATCTCTGAGATCAGGGTTCGTCAACATACAGCTCACTCACTGGAAGGCCAGACAGTGATATGATTGCTCTGCTAGTCAAGGGATTCAAACCCATTACCTTCCACACACAGATTGCTCTGCCAATGAACTACACACTGCCCTACATGTCAATCCAGGTTATGTTTGAAAATGGCACATCTGCGTGTGTGTCGCAGATCTTGGACATGTATGATTTGTGATGTGTTGAAAAAAATGAATTCATAGTAACCATAGTCGGACTCCAAGTTATTGGAATATCACAGGAATTTCATTCATATTTAATGAAATAACACCAGATAATTCCTCACTGACTAATTCCTGCTACCCTGTAGGAATAATGTCATGTATTTGCCTTTGCTCCTCCCTTTCTTTGACATAAGCATACACATTAGTTATATGCAGACAGAATGAATGAAACCAGACCTACGTAAACATGGGATTTACCCAACACTCAGTTCCTTTTCTCTACTTTTATATGACCGCATTCCCTGTTTCACCTCTTTGTGTGCAGATTAGCTTATTGGTTCATTAACATGAAATCATAGAAAATGAATGCATCCCATAAGTAAAGTAGCGTTCAGGCTCTTTCAGAGTGACTGTTTTTATTTTGCACTGGAGAATTGCACTTTAATTTCGTTGTACAATGTCTCATTGCTACAATGACAATAAAGATTCTATCTATCTAAGTAGACTTCAATTCAGTTCAATTAAACTAATTTTTATATGGCACTTTTCACAACAGTCACCCCAAAGCATTTTACATGGGGGTGCTGTGATACATCATTAAGACAGAATAATACAAAAACAGGGAAAAGGAAAGATAAAGAAATGAAAGAAGTCGGATGACACTGGAGGAGAGGGCTTGCAGATTTGCATTAGATTGCCGTGCTGCTTGGACATCGACGCTCTCGCGGCGCGCTGCCTTTCATCTCCATACAGTCCATGTGCGGCTAATCGGAAACACGCAGGTTTCAGCGGAAATAGGTGGCAGCTTTGAAAAGTCACCCTTGTCACAGCTCTCACACTTACTTCACAGCAGGGGGTCCGACTGAATCTGGAACTGAGATTGAGTGTGAGTGTGAGTGTGAGTGAGTGTGTGTGTGTGTGTGCGAGCAGGTATACCTATCCTTATGTCCCCATAACGTGATAAATATCCCTTTTTTTTCCCTTATGGGGACCGGTTTCCTGGTCCCCATAAGGGAAAACTCTATTTTATAAAAATCGGTGACTGCTATGAAAAAACTAAAAATGCAAAAACTCATGTATTTTGTTTGGTTACTTATGGTTATGGTTAGGGCAGGGTAGGGGTTAAGGTTGTCATAGTTAGCATTAGCATTTTTCCCATTGAAATGAATGAGTAGTCCCCATAAGGATATGTTTACCCTACATGTGCGTGTGCGTGTGTGTGTGTGTGTGAATTCAAATGGTTACATCAAGAGAACTTGCAGTTTCATCTGGTGGAAATGGCAGATATCAGCAAGGTCGCTAATCCTAAGATTAAAGGGAGAGGTGGCCTTCTAAAACCTCTAGATTTGTAACTTATTATATAATGAAGTTTTTTTTAGTCAGGGAGAGAGAACTACAGCATTCTTAGCTGTAGACTTATGCATGATTGTCATTTGATTATTATTTTGTAATGTTCACCAATGAGGTCACCCTTGCCTTCAGAGCCCTTTTTGTCGATATCTATATGGTCATCAGGAGTCAACAACGTTCTTCCTCCTGTACGGGTCTTCAGGTTTCCCTGAAGAATGTCCAATGTCCTGATGATCGAGTACTGTTCCCCTGTGACCTCCAACTATGAGAACATTATTGTATTATCATAATGTGCATAATAAGACAGCTTCAGTCTGCTCATTTGTACTTGCGGTGGAAGTTCAGACTTGACTCATCTGGTCCGTGCACCAAAATTCAAAGGCATGAATACTCTCCATGTCCAGCTTTCACATGCATAGCTTAGCCATAAAATATGCCATGTCCTGATTGATTCTCATCTCAGTTTGTAGACTTTCTTCAGTACCTTTGAAGACTTTTCTCCAGGTCTTCCACTGCAGCTTTGCTTAATGCCTATCTGCGATGTACTTCTTGACTAGTGGCTCCTTTGTTGTTTCAAGTTAAAATCTGTATATATCCTTTTGTTTTGACCATCAGCACTAAAGTTTGTCACCTTCCATTTATCTACAGCTTTTTTTTTATTCATGTTTATTCATAGTCCCATCTCTTCCACTGTGCCTTAAAATTAACTTTTTCCTCATCTTCATCAGCCAATCAAATGTTGATGTATCTTCATCCAATTTTGAATCCACAGCTGTCACCTTTCAGTCTAGCTTCCCTCACTTTATATTCTATGTACGGTGCATAGTGATCATTTGCATGCTTGTCTACCTCTGTTAATCCTTGTTTTGTTCTTGCATCTTGTCTCTCATTGTCTGGCCTTTGCTGAATCCAGCTTGAACATTCAGTATTTCCCTTTCCCTGTAGGCCTCAAATCTACATTGATTGATCCATAGCATAAATATATTTTTTACGCTGCGGGACCTACAAAATTAATCTCAGGGCTACTCTGACCTCATCTTCCAGTACTGAAGGTTCTCATGTGTGTGACCTCATTAGATACTTCTTGGTTGTTGCATTCTTTGTTATAGAAGTCAAACACATCCTGAGGGTTCTGCACTTATGGCCCTGTATTTTTCTCTCCCTCCTGAATTTTTTGGTCCTTAAATGCCCAGGTTGGATGGTTGGGGTTAGGGAGATTGGGTAAAAAAATCAAATACCTCACAGTAAACTGGGAAACCCCTTTTGCCAGCTTTTGTTAAATTGTAACCAGAATCCTCTTCCATATGAGGCCTGAGGCTGGAGTGCCGTCTTTCCGATTGTCCCCTCCTGCCTGTGGCTGCGCCTGCCAGCTGGTAAAGCTCCTCAGGAGAGCATCCCATGCTGGAGCTAGTCTCTGTTGGACTGTGACCATGATGCTCTCAAGGAGCTTCTGCCTCACAGTCTCTCAGAGACCCTCAATTTCCACTCAAGCTGATAGACTTTTATTGTATCCCTTATAACACTTTGCTTTTGGCGCATTCCAAGTGTTCTGTTGGCCAGCTTCTTCGGTACCATGATAAAAGCACTGGCTGGTTAATTATATCCTGTACTTTGCATGAGAGCCATGTGACGCATCATGTGATCGGCCATGCAGTGTGCCATGTGACACACTCAGTGAGGCAGCATCGGTACAGTGCCTGGCAGCAGCCTGATATGTCTGCAGTTAATAAGTGAGCTACTTAACCTGAATAATTCCAGTGAAACATCCAGCTCTTTAAATGGGTCAGATGCTCTCTCATGCCCCCACTTTGGGGAAAAAGCATCAGCTTAAACGTGTTAATATTTAAAGGAAGCAGAGACTGGAATCCTATAATGTCATAGCTCATACAGGGCACATGTATGATGTCAGAGGTTGGGATTCCTATCTCTGTCACCATCTGTTTTATTTTCATATGCTTCTCCATTGCTTTTATCCAGAGGGACTCCCCTCATTCATTCAGATGTATATTCATTGTAGCTTTGCACCTTTCTGCAAAGCTCTACAGCAGGGCTGGTTTGCAGACACCTGTGGTTTTATTCACTAGGTCCTTAATTTAATTATTGCCTCTTGTTAAAATCACCAATTTCACCAGCTGATTCCTATGCCTTGTCTTATGTATGAACTGGACATGCCACAGGGCATTGAGGCACAGAAAGCACAGGTTTTTGTACAGAATGTTCCATTGGGGCCTGTGTTACACCATGTGTTCTCTGTGTCATGATGTGTTCTCTGTGCTCACAGTGTCCTGTATTACGCTGTGTTCTCTGTTCTCACTGGGCCCTGTGTGAAGCTGTGTTCTCTGGGATATGAAGTGTTCTCTGTGTTCACTGCCCTCTGTGTCACGCTGTGTTCTCTGTGTCACGCTGTCTTTTGTGCTCACTGGGCCCTGTGTCATGCTGTGATTTCTGTTTCATTTTGTGTTCTCTGTGCTCACTGTGTCCTGTGTTATGCTGTGTTCTCTGTGCGCAGTGGCTCCTGTGTCTCACTGTGTCCTGTGTGCTCACTGGGCCCTGTGTTACACATTGTTTTTTGTGTCAAGCTGTGTCCTTTGCTCACTGGGCCCTGTGTCATGCTGTGTTCTCTGAGTCACACTGTATTCTCTGTGTCACACTCTGCCCTGTGCTGTGCCTTGTGTCTTGCAGTGCCCTCCAAGTTGCAGTCCCAGCCTTCCTCACCACAGACACGGTGCTCCTCACCCTCCACACCTTCAGGAGCCAGCAAGTTGCTGTCCTCTTCACAGAAGCACAGCAAGAAGGCGCTCAAACAGGTATGGCTGTGTCCCTGCCCCCTCCCCACTGCTCTCTGTCCCCCTGTGCTCTGGGCAGCCCTCTCTCATCCAATACCCAGCACTTCCCTTTCCAGCTGATTGTGTAACTTAAACTTCATCTCATTGCATCAGTTCAAATGGGGTTTTTTTTCACCGTTAACATTATTTTTCTTTTTTTTTGCCTCAAATATGCCTCTGTCATAATAATGTCTTCACTTTCAGCTTCTCCTCTGGTTTGCGTTCAGTTCTTTTAGGATATTAATTTAATTCTTCTCCTGCTCCCCCTTTTCCTTCCCAGGAATGTAGTTACTTTAGAGAAAGATTAAGAGTCCTCTGTATCATGCGGTTACCCCCAGATAACCTAGCGGCACAGTGCTTCGGCATTGACAGCATAGACATGCTCTGTGCTGCTGAACTTGCCGCCTTCAGTGTCATATGCCTTATGTCTGATGTTCTTTTCCTTGTAAACAAAAACATTTCTCCTTTTTGAAAGCCTACCAGTGGAGCGCAGGAGGCTGGAATCTACAGGTATATATGTACTGCAGAGCAAGTATTAATGCTTTCATGGCCAAAAGTCAAGGCGCTACGGAGCATCTCTCCATGTCTGCTGCAGTGACTCGAATCTCCGAGTGGTTTCTTTGAATCATATTTCATCACTGCCGCATTTCGGGCCTGTTCGTGCTTGACTGCCTCACCTACCCATTGCCCTGTCCTCTTCGCTGCTTTAGTTTCTATCACACGTGCCATTTTGCATCCACGTATAACGATGTCGATGTAATCTTTTCTCTGATATCTGCTCTAGAGGTAATATTGGTATTTGCGGGGACAGCGTTCAATTGGCTTTTGAAACATTGATGAATTCATGTTATACTGTGCATCTATGTGTGTGCACATCCCATCTGGTACTGCTCTTCATAGTCAGTGTGGCATGACACTAGAAGGACATCACTAACTAGTCTAACGTACTTATTCAGATAATTCTCTGATTCTCATAGTAAAGGCCATGCAAATTAAAATAATTGTGTTAAAAAAGACAAGCGGATCATTGCGAGAACTGCAGGTCCACTTAACTCTTTTACACTTTTACACAAGTCTTTCAGGAAAGTTTCCTTAACCCACGTTTGGATTTATGGCACATTCTGAATGGGAACCATGTTATTGTGTGCAGGGCCGAGTGCTGGCGGAGTAGCATAATCACCTGACTTAAACCCTATTGACAGTTTGTGGAAATACTCTTTGAAAGTTTTGTGAGATCTTGTGCAAATCTGCCAAGGGAAATTAGCAAGCATTGCACAAGTCTGAAATCTTAGATAGACGGTTGAACCGTAAATTCTGTGTGAGAGACTGTTTGCCAGCTGGCCTGTGTGTCCTGTATAAGAGGTGAATAGACAGTTCAGCTATAGATCGGCAGGAGCAGCTGGTGTCCCCTGCGTTGCACCCTGAGCTGCCTGGAATAAGCAGCAGGCTCAGTGGGAAGTGGAGAGATGAAAGTGTGGGTAGGTGAGTGGATGGATAGTGTATTGTTGAATCTTGGGGGATAATCCCCACTTGAGGATTAAGGAGAGACCCTGCAGCATGGCGCGTTGATGAGGGTGCACGGCATCATGGGTACCTTAGGGAGAGACCCTGCAGCATGGCGCGTTGATGAGGATGCACGGCATCATGGGTACCTTAGGGAGAGACCCTGCAGCATGGCGCGTTGATGAGGATGCACGGCATCATGGCTGCGGATCTACGTGAGCTGCTCTCAAGGACAGTGCCGATATCTCACCCAGTTCTCCTGCCCTGCGACACTGGAACACTCGCACCAACTGTGCTCTAAGCTGCATCAGGCTGCATCCAAAGGCAGGTTCTGCGTGTCTGCAGTGCAGGTGCTGCGTGAGCATGCCAGTGCAGCTCCGTCTCTGCTCTCTTCTCCCATCATGTCCCTTCCGTTGCTCTGAATTTTCCCGTTGACTGTTGAACGGTGAATCATTTCTCACCGGTCTTGTTGTACGTGGTACGTGGCTTGCACAGCTGTGCGAGGGACCTGCGTCATGCTTAGCGCGAAATGCAAGCAGTCACAGGAAGTGAATCTTCATGTGTTAAAGTTCAGCAACTTTTGTGGTTCATGTATGAAACCTCATCCTGCCCTGGAGGTACGCTATGCTAACATTTGGTTGGAACTCCATTACTACTGAAGCACAAATCATATAACTAACAAATATAGTAGGTACTTGAGATAAAAGATGCATCATGATTCATTAAAGATGAGCAAACACGAGACACAGTGTTTCACTTGTGTTATTTATTACTTGTTCCTTCTGTAGCTCACAGAGGTTTACAGGATTAACAGATACAGTAACTGCTTGAAATAACATGCATCACGATTCATTAATGATGAACGAGCATGAGATCACTATGTAACCAAGACTTCGTTTGTGGTCAGTTAATACGCAAATAACAGCATAAATGCTATATTATTTGTGCCCCCTCAAGCAAAGTGTTACCGGCACGAGTGGCTGAGAGTCGGAGCACGGTGAAATCTGTGTGACCCCTCCCCCGGAGGCTGGAGACACCTGACAGCCAAGCCGCGTCTGACGGCAGCTGTTCTCTGTTTGGAGAAGGTCCATTCGTTGGTCTGCTGAAGCACCGTGATTAAAAATGCGAAAGAGCTTTGGACAAACTACAGGCGGACATAACTTCTGCATCTAACTAAATGGCGAAACAAGTAAAGCTTCCTACCAACGAGGCGTGATGTACAAAGCCAGACCTGCATTTGCACACGTGTATATGTTTACAGTATTTAATGCTGCTGCTTTTTGGCTGTGATGATGATAGCCTCCGCTGCATTGGATGTCTTTCTGCCTTCATTCAGCTCAGGAACAAAGGCGTCCCCAGCGTCTTCTCGACACTAACAGCCCATAGCAACACATCCTGAAACGCTCAGTCTCAGGTCGTTCACCAGCGGCGGAGACGGCCTGGTTCCTCAATGCAACTTCCGTGTGCTCTCTGCGGTCAGGATGCGCTAACGTGTTTTTCTGTTTCAGTATAGATCTGCACATGTGTGTTTGACTGCCAAAATGGTGCACTGGGGCTATGGTGTTCCGCTGCTCATATGCTGACGCCAATGCTCTGTCACCAAATCAGATCTCCACAATCCACAGGGCTGCCGTTAAAACTATTGAGGCTTGTGCCGGTTTTTCCGAGATCCGGCTTATTGACAATGAGCGTTTTTCTGCAGGGGCGGGCCACTCTCGCTTTCCGGCATCTCTTATCTAATGAGGCGCGGCGCTCTTCGGGTGTGCTTAATTAAAATGCTAATTACCACACACATTACACAATGTGATTCGCTGGCTTCCTTCACAAAGCGCTCCAGAAACCATTTGTTTAATTAAAGGGAAAGATAATAATTTGTCTTCCTATAAAAATATTCTTTTTTTTTCTTTTTTTTTTTGGATCTAGTAGCTGCAGTTTTATGAGTAATTACAGTGTTGGCGGAAACCAACTGAAATGGAGAGAATGAGCGTCTCGATGAACAGGCCCATCTGCTCAAGGGCAGCTCTGCAGACGCTCCGATCTGGATATTCTCGATCTGAAAGCATGCTGGCCTTCAAAGACCTTTTTTGGACGTGTGCTAGGCCATCTGCATGTAGACGCTGATATCTTATCGGGGGGGACCTTGGAGAAAGCAGTCATCCCGGACTTCAAAGGCGTTCCTCAGCGGTTTCCGTGTGTCTGTCGGATGAGTCGGTACTTTTACTGAATGCTGTAGACCCTGAAGTGAATTCCTCAAGTGATGTAACTGATGGGAGATGCCGCAGGGAGCAGGGCAGCCTCTCAGAGGAATCGCTTTCATGCCAATGGCGGGATATTCAGAGAAAACGATTCATTCTAATCAGCTGGCTGTTTGTATTAGCACATTATTATCCATATGTCATTTGCCATACCTGTTTTTTTTTTCGTCTTTTGGATATTGCTTGTAGCTGGATTATACTGAAGAAACGGTATAATGCTTCCCATATGCCTAGTCTGGGCACACCTGCCTGTGCTCAGTACAAGTGCCTTAGTTTTGTAGGCCAGACCCATAAGTGGCAGTTCGGAGCTGGTCCGTTGGATGCAACCCGGAAGCGTGTTAGGAAGCTGCCTGAAGGGTCTGGGGTTTTTTGATGAAACCAGCCAGTCTTGTGGTTTCTCTGTGGATGCTTAGCATCGTGATTTTTCATACCTGTCCTTCTGAAACGTCGCACAGCACTGCTGCAGTGAATCATGGGGGGGTGGGTGCCCTGAAACACCAAATGTCTCACCTTCACCAGGTGCTACAAGACGTCTCGGGAGAGGGAGGAAGGTAGGCGGCCCACAGCCTATGGCCACACTCTCACCTGTCTTCTCTCTATGTCTCCCTCCCTTCTCTCTATGTCTCCCTCCCCGCTCCCCACGCATGTAGGCCCTGAAGCAGCAACAGCAGAAGAACCAGCGCCGGCAGGGTGGGATTACCCCGATCTCTAACCCCCGGATCATCTTCAAGAGCGTCAAGGACATGGCCTGTCCCATAGCCGCCAAGACCGGTAAGCTGTGGGCATGTTAATGATTAGGTCATGGGTGTGTTCCGGGGGCGGGGCCACAGAGGCACTGACCCCTGCTGATTGGTTCCCAGAGTGCCCCCTTCCCTGTCACTCACTGATTCAAAATGTATTCTTGGCTAATGATAAGGTTGGCTCCCCTGAGTGAATTATGGCCTGTAAAAAATCCTAGAATTGCCCCAGGATAAAGGGTCCAGGAAGATGCAGGCCGGTAATCGTGCCGTGATGCATGCCGTAACTCTCCAGTCCTGAATCAGTTTAGTCTTGCGGTGCTGCTTTTTATGTTTACACCCGGCAGGGTATTGAGATATGACACTAAAATCCGGTTTCATGCTCTTCTTTTTATAGCCTGATTGAAGAATTCATTTCAGATCGTTGGACATTTAGACATGATGCTTTAATTTACTCATATTATGGCTCCCATTTAATTTATTTTGCTCCCTTTTATGCGTCTTGGCTTTTGGTTCTCTCCTACACTCGTTTCCTAGATGGATGGATGGTGAGATGAATGACACCGAGATCACTGCTCTGGAGATGGTGCTAGAGTTTCCCTGCTTTACGCAGTGCAGTCTTGCTTACGTTAGCCTCGTCCGTCCTTTGGTCACTCGCTTCCTGGGCCGCTCCACCTTAACGTCTGTGAGCTGGCCCTCCTGCATGTAGGCTTTGTTTTTTCCACGCAGGACTGCTCTAGCTGCAGCCCAGACCTAGATGCATGTCTACTGGGATCAAGTTAGGCCTGCCTGTGTCACTGCTCTCTGTCCCCCGTAGCATCAGAAGGGGACACGCCCAAGGACAGCCCAGAGGGGGGGGGGGGGAGCACACAGGCTGTATTTACCTCACTGTGCATGGAGACCTTCAGCCCAGGGACGTAATTATGGCAGAATGTGTATCAGAGAGCGTGGTGCCAACATACCCTAAGGCTGAGAGTCCATGGGGGGGGCATCTCTGCATGATACCGCAAGAATCTGCCTGTTTTTACCGAAACATGTGCAGGTCCGGCTCCGCTTGGAACAGTAAACGGGACAGCAGCATGGGACAGCAGCATGGGACAGCAGCATGGGACAGCAGCATGGGGCAGCAGCATGGGGCAGCAGCATGGGGCAGCAACACGGGTTTTATCAGGGGCCAGGAGCCAAAGCTAAAGGCCCGTTTACACTTTGCGTGTCCATGTAGCCGTAAGGGTCCGCAACGGTCGAGTGACGTAATTTTCACCATCAGCTACGACCGTGCGCTCCTCCGCTACCCTGAACGCGTGCTTCCAAATTGTTGTGTCTGTATGACCTGTGCGTGTCGGTCAATCAAGCGCAACAGAGACATGGAGGCCTTCCACAGTTTTGTTTACTGAAAGTTACATGACATGATCTGCTGCTGTCCATATTTATGTGATCCATGCGTGAAAGAAAACAAGGGTGCCCACCAGTGGCGGAACAACTGCACACAAGACCCCGGGGCAAAACACCAATCGGGCCTCCCCTCCTCTCCCGCGCACGCGCACACACACACACACACACACACACGTATATGTGGCAGCGCTGAAACGAGTTTTAAAGTGTAGGTGTGGGATCACAAAAAACTTAACGAGAGAATTTGACTGTCCCTCACAAAAACTGTAAAGCTTTACTGGCTAAATTGCGTTTTCTACGCCTTTTCAGACTGGAGGAGATTTGTTTAGCTATGCCTAGAAAACAACGTTGTTACCAGTGTGGAGACCGTCAGAGTTTTACCAAGGACAATAATTCCACCTCCAGCTGCCTGCCCATCTCATCCATTTCTGTTGCAAAAATTACAGTGTATTGTCTAAGTGAATAGGGTGTAGGTTAATTAGTGTGCACGCACCGTCTTTCTCATTCTCATAATGCGTCCATGCATCCGGGTATAGCCCATTCAAATGTCAATAGCCCATTCAAATGTCATGTAGCCTAACTTTTTATACAATTTATACAGCACACAGTCTTAAACCTACTTTAAGGTATTTATTGATACAACCACATATTTCCCACATTTTGACATCAGTGATGCAGTGAAGATACAGCCTGTTCATTTCCTGACGCCAACCCCCCGAAATATGCAGTCTAACAAAACGCAGTTTGAAGAAGGTAGTCTACCTGGCGAAATTGCAAACAAACAAATTAAAAGGCCCACGACATATAATTGGGCTATATCCAACAAAAAGCAGTTTTTAAGAACGTAGCCTACATGGCGGAATTGCAAACTTAGCTCCACCCATCCCACCCTTACCTCCGCCCATCCCACCCTTAGCTCCGCCCATCCCACCCTTAGCTCCGCCCATCCCACCCTTAGCTCCGCCCATCCCGCCTTTACCTCCACCCATCCCACCCTTAGCTCTGCCCCTGGTGCCCACATGTGTACAAATTTGTGGTGTGAAATCCCCCAAACGTAAAAGAAGTAACAAGTGGAAATCCCAGGGAGGACTCGCCTAAGCTGTACCCCTTCCATCCGCTGTAAGTCGCTTTGGATAAAAGTGTGTAATAAGTGAATAAAATGGACTGATACTACTGTGCATGCGAGGCAGGCTTTAGCATTCGTTCAGCGCCGAAGCTGTGTGCCTCCGTTCCGTTTCGTAGCAGAAACGAACCTTAACAGTGAGAGAGCTGCTGTATACGGGCATCACGCATCTCAGCAGGTTAGCATACTACGTATGCGATCAGAAGGGCGTTGGTTCAAATCCCAACGTCGACACAGTAATTTCACCATTGGGCCCCTCAGTAAGGTCCTTAACTCCCAGTTATTCCAGGGGCTGGCCGTCCCTGGTCTCTCAGAACTGTGTTTCTTTGGATAAACCATGAATGAAGGCTCAGCATCAATATGTCTGAAGTGATTTATAACTGCAGAAGGGGCAATGAGGGGGTCGGCCTGTAAATGCTAACTCCAGATGCTGTGCTTCAATAGCTGCCTGTCGGCCTGCCTCCTCACCAGCGTGCCTCACCCTTGGCATGAGTGACACAAGCTGCACGTTTTTTTTAACTTCCTGTCCGGATGTTACAGCACCCCCCCCCCCCCCCCCCCCCCCGGCTCAGTCCTGGCTCAGTCCTGGCTCAGTCCTGGCTCAGTCCTGGTCCTCATCACGTTTTGGTTTGTGTCCCTACACTTTGGCAGCCTGGGAGGTCAAACAGCTGGCACGACGATCTTCAAGCCCCCACAACTCCTCCTCCAGTTCCCCCTCCTCCTCCTCCTCCTCATCATCGGTTAAAATGGACCCGTGTCCGTCGGCCCGCACCAGGAAGATGTCGCAGAGATCAGATCGGCTGAGCGCACGTGAGTAACCCGAGGGGGCAGCCGCTACTCACCCCCAACCGCTGAGTTTGACCCTTTTCAGGAAGTGATAAAAAAAAAAAACAGCGCTTGTTTTATTCACCTAGGAAATGCAGCAGTGGAAAGGGCCCCATTATTTGCAGAAAGTCATTTTTTGTTAAAGTGAGTGAACTTCATAGGAAGCGTCAAGCATCCCAGCAAAAAGCGGAAACTTCTCATTAGTGACATAACTGCACCCCTTTGCGCAGCTGAATTGAAACGCTTACACTTTGCTAGATGAAAGACGCTATAAAATGAATCACTGGCTGTGGTGAGCCAAAGGGGGTCGCGCACAGATCACACCTTAAAGTGCAAACCTGTTGCAACTATCTAGCTGAGGATCTCTGTGTTGGTACTCAGGACCAGTGTTTCTTAACCCAGTGTGGAGGGAGCAAAAACGTGGACTGTCTGAGAGTCCCCGGGGACTGGATTGAGTAACACAGCTTCACACAAACCCCTGTGCATGTAAGGGGATGGCAGTGGGCTGCAGTGAGTAGCAGAGCAGGGTAGGCAGTGTGGAGAAGCACCATGATCTGGTGCAGTGAGCAGCAGCCTGATCTCTGCAGGCACCCGAGAGACAGCTGGGGGGGCCTTTCCCAGGCCGAGCAAGGAAAAGCATCTGGGGTGTAACGTGCCGCACCCCTCCTCTGAATGTGTCAGCCGCCTCTTTAGGAGTAGGCTTTGCATTGACAAGGTCATACAGTGCGGGTGTATGTTCTCTGCCATTGGCGAATCGCAGTAGCCCCAAAGTAACGAGGGAGCCACAGTGCCCACCGGGGGACAGTGGGCCTCAGAGTCATGAAACATCTCAAGCTCCTTCTGGAGAAAAAGGAGTACCAGGCATCAGAGACCGACCTGCAAACCTGCAGCAGGTCTCCTAGTCCAACAGTACTGATCTGGTGCTGGTGTCTTTACAAGCCAGTGAGATGTTCATGGTTTCCACTCTTCACTGAGTGTTGGCTGGAATTATTAAGCCTGGTAGAAAGTCCCAGAAATAATCTAGGTCGCATATAGAGCGCTAATGACATGCTCGACTTCATAAGCTTTTTAACTTGCAATTCTGAAGCTGTAATGTTTTATGAAAGTATAAAGGGCATATTTTAGGTCGCTGTATGGTGAAAGGTATTAAAAATTAAAGTGTGTTTGTCAGTTGGTGATTTTCGGAAGTGTAGTTCCCCACGTGACGTCTGGTGTTGACCTTCTGTTCAGGAGGCTCCCCGGTCTCCACATGGCTTCAGCGGCCTGCCCTGACCTGCTCATTTCCCACTCTGCTTTACAGGCCAGCTGAAGAGCGGCAAGTGTGCCGAGATCGACGTGGAGACGCCAGACTCCATCCTGGTCAACACCAACCTGCGCGCTCTCATCAATAAGCACACCCTGTCACTGCTGCCGCCAGAGGGCCAGCAGCGTCTCCTGGTTCTCCTTCCAGAGGTGGACCGACAGGTGGGCGGGTGAACCTGCTGTCCGTGTCGCCTCACCAAAAGGGGGAGAGCAGGGCGGGCCCACAGCGAGATGTTCCACTTGGCCAGCCATTATGTGGCCCAGTGCCGGAGCCTCGAACCCGTACCAGTGGAGCGGACAGCCAGAGGTCTTTTCTGCTGGTTGTTCAAGCTTCACTCTGCTGTGCCATACGTGGGGCGGCTCGCGGTCGCACAAGGAGATTCAGTCTTGGCTGGGTTTTGTTAAAATAAGCGTCAGTGTGGTACTCAGAGGGTTAGGATTCTCCCTGTGATCAGAAGGTCACTGGCTTGAATGCCAGTATCGGCCGGTTGATGTCACCGTTGGGCTCCTGAGTGGCTCCTTTGACCCTCAATTGACTCAGGGACTGGCTGATATATGTCACTTTGAGTAAAAGCATCTGCTAAAAAAAAGAACTGTAAACTGTGCCCCCAAGGGCATTTTAACTCATCTGTCCTTTCCCTGTATAGTGTGGTACATATCAGAGTACCTTTATTTAACCATATTTTAGCTGGGTGATTTTAGCTGCAGGTTTAGTCTTTTAAGGATGGCCAGTGATTCATGCTTCATACGTGAAGTACGATGCTGTTCATTCTGGGAAGGGACGCGTTACATCATTCAATTTGTCTGATTGTATGACGTCCGTAGCCACGCTTACTGTAAGTTGGGCGGACACAGTGGTGCTGATTCGGCAGACGGGCTCTGTGACGTCCTCCAGGGTCCGGAGCCCCAACTGCAGTGCAGCTGTCGTTCCTTACATCAGCAACGTGATTGGAAGCGCTGTGCGAAAATAAACTTGATGGAACTGAAAGGTGACATATTACCCATTAACCATCTGCTGAACACTTCGTGTTTGGAGCTACGTTTCTAGTCTGGTTTTGTATTGTGTTAGCTGTATGCCGCTACACAGGAGTTTAGGCTGTTCCCCAACAGCACATTCGCAGCTGATCGGTCAGTCGATTTTTCTATTCGACTGGCTAGTTGACAGAATGCTGACCCTCCGTGTGGTCAGCTTAGGGTTGATGTGCCAGACCAAGGAGAGCATCTCAGCAGTGCCATTCTGCTCTGTTTGTCTGCTGCTTGTGATGCCCTCAGGATGACAGGCCTCTCTCTATCTCTCCGGCTCCCTCAGGCCTCCTCGGATGGATCGCTGAAGCTCAGCAGCTCTGCATTGAACAACGAGTTCTTCACATCAGCAGCTCAGTCCTGGAAGGAGCGGCTAGCGGAAGGTCTGTAGCATCTGCAGCCTCTGCATTTACAGCCACTGCTCTTCCTTCGAAGATGAAACTCCGCGTTTTTGCTTTCGACCGCCTCTGTGGAACGAGCGGACTGGGCAGGGGAAGATTGTGGTGATGTCACAGTGTGGTTCTGCAGATTGCTCCATCGTCCTTCACAAATGGGCGAGATGACGGGAAGGCGCTGTGGATGGCAGGCTGAGTAGGCGCTTTGGGGCTGAGAGGACCTTGCTGTAATCGTAGCCGTCCTCAGGGAAAGGGCCCTTTCAAACTATACATCACCCACTATGATGTTTTTACGGCTGAAAAATGTTACGTCACTGAGGCTTGAATGTGGCTACTGGCAAACCAGTTTGTGCTGTTATTGTAATGATATTCGTATGTATCAGCCATTCGGTGCCAGTACTAGATTCCTGCTTCTGCAGAATTCCTGCAGGTTCGAAACTGGCCCCGGTTCTGTTTGGGCATTCTGAGAGTCGGCCTAATGACTGTGTGGGATAGGGTGAGAACTTGGGGGTGTGACTGTGAAGTGGCCCCAGTGCCAGCCCAACACTGCCTTCCTTACCACTGCAGGCGAATTCACTCCAGAGATGCGGCTGAGGATCCGTCAGGAAATCGATAAAGAGAAGAAGGTGGAGGCTTGGAAGGAGCACTTCTTCGAGAGCTACTACGGGCAAAAGTAAGCGTGTCTGGGATACGCAGCGTCTGAGCTGTGCGTGTGGGGGATGCCCGTCAACTGGGTTGGGTGGTGTGGCGTCTGGACTGTGCTGCATGGCATCTGGGTTGTGCTGTGAAGTGTCTGGGTTGCATGCCTTTTGGTTTGGACTGAGTGGTGCCTGGACTGCAGAGCATTTGGATTGGGCTGCGCGGTGTCTGGGCTGGGCTGGGCTGGGCTGTGCTGTATGGCAGCTGGGCTGCACGTCACCTGAATTGGGCTGCGCGGTGGCTGGGCTGGGCTGCGCGGTGGCTGGGCTGGGCTGCGCGGTGGCTGGGCTGGGCTGTATGGTGGCTGGGCTGGGCTGCGCGGTGGCTGGGCTGGGCTGGGCTGCGCAGTGTCTGGGCTACACATCATCTGGGCTGCATTGCATCAAGGTGAAGTGCATAATCAGCCATAACACAATACAGCTGGAGTCTAATATCCTGAGAAACTGACAGTCGATTGCCGTGTGTGTTGGGAAAGCCCGAAGCCTTTCCATGTTTGAGGATTTGTGCAGAATTCTGTGGGATTCTTTGTTCGGCTCGGTACCATAGCTACAGCTTTTCTGGCTCCTGTGGGAATATTGGATTTTCTGTGGCTTATATTTATGACCTGCGGTGCCAGCCTGATATTAAACATCGTGATTAATAGCATAGCTACACAGCGTAATAGATGTACATGGTCTTTCTTATCTGGGCAGTCGTTATAAAGCCCAACGTGAGAATCATCGTTTTCCATTTGGAACCAATCTCTGATCGTCGGCTGACACTGTGCGGTCGTGCCATCTTTCATACCGGACACAGCGGGCTGGTTCCCTGCACCGACTGCGTTTTCCACTGCGCTGACCTATCTCCCGTATTCTTCAATGGTGCCTGAATAGTGCATGAGAGCAGAGCGGCTTGTGTTTCCTCCTTCGTCGGTACGGCTCCTCTCCACACATATCTGAGCAAATCACTTCTGTAAATCGTCACTCTTTTTCGACTCCAGTATCCCACAGGGGAGTCCCGTTTCGTTACCACAGACTGCTAACCAGCCTCCCTCGCCGTTTAGTTGCCAAGCAACCTCTCCCAGCATTGTGAATTTAAGCATAATGAAACAGAAGCTGGGAGTAACAGCAGGGCTTGTCCAGGTAAAGTGGTGGCAAGCTGCGCTGGAAATGGCATGCTGGCCTGCTTCTGAGCGTGTCTGGTCTACTTCTCCTCCTCCTCGTCATCATCATCATCATTATTGTTATTAATATGAACCATGCAAACAAGTGCACAGATAATATTAAATCATGGCACAGTTCAACAAACCATATAATTCCATTATATACACTGCTCAAAAAAATTAAAGGAACGCTTTGAAAACACATCAGATCTCAATGGGGGGGAAAAAATCATGCTGGGTAATGTGTTAGGAATGAAAGGATGCTACATCGTTTGATGGAAATGAAAATGATAAACCTACAGAGGGCTGAATTCAAAGACACCCCAAAAATCAAAGTGAAAAAATGATCCGGTAGGCTGGTCCATTTTGCCACAATTTCATTGCAACAACTCAAAATCACACTCAGTAGTTTGTATGGCCCCCATGTGCTTGTATGCATGCCTGATAATGTCGGGGTATGCTCCTAATGAGACGACGGATGGTGTCCTGGGGGATCTCCTCCCAGATCTGGACCAGGGCATCACTGAGCTCCTGGACAGTCTGAGGTGCAACCTGGTGGCGTCAGATGGACTGAAACATAATGTCCCAGAGGTGTTCCATTGGATTTAGGTCAGGTGAGCGTGGGGGCCAGTCAACAGTATCCATTCCTTCATGTTCCAGGAACTGCCTGCATGCTCTCGCCACATGAGGCCGGGCATTGTCGTGCACCAGGAGGAGCCCAGGACCCACTGCACCAGCGTAGGGTCTGACAATGGGTCCAAGGATTTCATCCTGATACCTAATGGCAGTCAAGGTGTCGTTGTCTAGCCTGTAGAGGTCTGTGTGTCCCTCCATGGATATGCCACCCCAGACCATCACTGGCCCACCACCAAAATGGTCTTGCTGAACAATGTCACAGGCAGCATAATGTTCTCCGCAGCTTCTCCAGACCCTTTCACTTCTGTCACATGTGCTCAGGGTGAACCTGCTCTCATCTATGAAAAGCACAGGGTGCCAGTGGTGGACCTGCCAATTCTGGTATTCTATGGCAAATGCCCATCAAGCTCCACGGTCCTGGGCAGTGAACACAGGGCCCACTAGAGGATGTCGGGCCCTTAGGCCACCCTCATGAAGTCTGTTTCTGATTGTTTGGTCAGAGACATGCACACCAGTGGCCTGCTGGAGGTCATTCTGTAGGGCTCTGGCAGTGCTCATCCTGTTCCTCCTTGCACAAAGAAGCAGATACTGGTCCTACTTATGGGTTAAGGACCTTCCACCTCTCCTAGAGTAACTGCCTATCTCCTGGAATGTCCTCCATGGCCTTGAGACTGGGCTGGGAGACACAGTAAACCTTCTGGCAATGGCACATATTGATGCACCATCCTGGAGGAGTTGGACTACCTGTGCAACCTCTGTAGGGTCCAGGTATCACCTCATGCTACCAGTAGTGACACTGACTGTAGCCAAATGCAAAATTAGTGAAAAAAACTGTCAGAAAAGATGAGGAGGAAAAATGTCAGTGGCCTCCACCTGTTAAACCATTCCTGTTTTGGGGGTCGTCTCATTGTTGCCACTCTAGTGCACCTGTTGTTAACTTCTTTAACACCAAAGCAGCTGAAACCGATTAACAACCCCCACTGCTACTTAACGGACTAGATCAATATCCCAGAAGTTAAATTGACTCGATGCTATACTCTGATTAAAAAGTGCTCCTTTAATTTTTTTGAGCAGTGTATTATTTCAGGATAGAAACCTGGGAGGATTGAGGGTGTAAATCACAGATGTGCCTTCCAGCATCGGAATGTTTCTTAACCACCCTGCAATGGCAGCCTACACGGTTAGTTAGTGAGTGAATAATATGAGTCAGTTAGTGTGTAATATGAGTGAGTTTGTGTGTGTATGTTTTAATGAGTTAGTGATAGCATGTGAGTGAGCAATTGAGTATTGGTGAGTGAATGAGCAAGTAAGTGTGTGACTGGGTGTGGGAGTGAGTATATGAGCAAGCGAGTATGTAAACAAGGAGCAAGTGAGTGTAAATTATCTAGTGTGTGAATGAGAGGGAATGTGTGAGTGAGTGTGTTAGCGAGTGAGTGAGTGTGTTAGCGAGTGAGTGAGTGTGTTAGCGAGTGAGTGAGTGTGTTAGCGAGTGAGTGAGTGTGTTAGTGAGTGAGTGAGTGAGCAGATGAGTAAATGGAAGAGCGAGTGAGCAGGTGATTGAATGGGTAAGCGAGTGTGTTAGCGAGTGAGTGTGTTAGTGAGTGAGTGAGCAGATGAGTGAATGGGAGAGCAAGTGAGCAGGTGATTGAATGGGTAAGCGAGTGTGTTAGCGAGTGAGTGTGTTAGTGATTGAGTAAGCAGATGAGTGAATGGAAGAGCGAGTGAGCAGGTGATTGAATGGGTGAGCGAGTGTGTTAGCGAGTGAGTGAGTGTGTTAGTGAGTGTGTTAGCGAGTGAGTGAGTGTGTTAGTGAGTGTGTTAGTGAGTGAGTGAGCAGATGAGTGAATGGGTGAGCGAGTGAGCAGGTGATTGAACGGGTGAGTGAGCAAATGTTCAGTCCCCACGGGGCCTCCTCCATAATTCATGTCACCAGACACCAGCAGATGACAGGAGCTGTAAACGGAGCTGCTGCTGTTTAGCAGAGGGTAATGAGGGCTCTGGGCCTGACGGGAGCCCCGTGACCCAGTCAGAACGCAGCACGCTGGCTTGCTGCTCCGGATCACTGATGAGCTGCAGTGAATGCTGATACCATTCAAATGGTAATGATCAGCTCAAAATGATGAAGGACAATGAACAAGGAGTTTAATCCAATTCAGATTATTGTCAAAGTGGCCAAATTTATGACCCTGTTCTCTGAACATGCATACATCCATCTTCCAGTTGCTTCTTCAGTACAGGGGAACGAAACGTGCTACAATGTTCTCTGTATTAGCGTGGTCTAGAGAGCATCTGTACATGGGGTAAACAGTTTAGCGAAACTGAACACAAAATCTTCCTAAAAAGTTTCAGAAGACTGGAGGAAAATCAGATGTTTAACCAGTTTGTGGCATCTGTCTGATCCAATATGGTGGACGAAATATGGTTATGTTAGAATATATTCAGATCCACCACATGGGACAAGTTGGTGAGTTTTTGTCATTGTCACTAGTGAGCAGACAGCCAGGGAATCGGTGCTTCTGCACATGCTGGTCCAAACGGGCAGCAGTCAGCTGGTTTGGCCAACGTGGCGTCACCCCGCATGCAGCTTTGCTACAGACTGCAGAGTATAAAATTCCATTTAAAGTTAGTCTTTGTGTCTTGTTCTCAATGGCTCCTGAGTGTGCTGTCTGCACACGCTGTACTGCCGACTAGAAATTAATATTCATTAATTTCCCAGAAACTCGTGCCAAGTTCACGTCCTCAGCAGACCTGCAGCCTGACCCAGGGAGACAGCGGACACAGCCTGGGCTTGATGTATTACACATCCAATCACACGCTAAGAGCAGGTTAGAGATGCTGATTCCTCAGCGCGTCTTGGCGTCGGCTGGTAGGAGGCGAGCAGTAGCACCTTCAGGGACCCCCTTGAAGGACCCCCACAGTCTCCGTAACCGGAGCCCTTGAGGCTGCCACAGCACCCCCAGAATTTCACAGGTCATCGGATTTGTAGTGCAGAATAAATGCTGTGATATTCATCACCTTCTTTTTCCTAGAAACAGGGTAAACCAGGTTGCGTTTCATTTAGTCCTTTGGACCATTTATAGAACCGAGGCACCCCAGAGGGTTGTGTGTAGCTGTTGGATCATTTTTTTATTTTTTTTTTTTTTTACTGTTTACTGAGGCTGTTCTTTGACATTGCTATAACTATGACTGGCTGTGAGAGAAAAATCTCACCTAATTGGGTATTTTGTTTAACATGAGGCACCCTTTATGTGTCTTTTTGTCATTTCAGTTCTGGACTGACGATTGAACAATCCAGAAAGCTGATGGAAGCGGTTCCCGGTGGGGACTCCAACCAATCCCAGCCGACCCAACTTCCCGCTCCTGAAGAGGCTACAGCGGGAGATAACACAAAGACTGAACCTGAAACGAGCTCGGACATCACGACAGCTTCTGGATCAGAGGTGGCCTCTGAGGTGCCTGCAACTACCCATGAGGTACAGGAACCTGCTGGTCCTCAGACCAAAGCTTCTCCTGTGGCTTCTCAGAATACGCAAGTGGTACCAGCTGCCGTGAAAATGGACAGCACTGAAAACACTGCTCTGGCAGCGGAAAAGGAACCAAAAGATGATGGCGGATCGAAGATTCAGCTCTCCCCTCGGACACCTCCAGAAACGTCACCTATTGAGAAAGCCAGCAGTGAGCTAACAGGGATTGATTTTAAGGAGGTGAACCAGGAGCCCTTGAAGAGAAAGGCGTCCAGCGACGGGGAAACAGCCCTGAGCCCAGAAAAGAGGCCCCGTGTCTTAGAAGCTGCCCCACTTCCAACATCCCCTAAACCATCACCAGAGTCTCCAAGGGTGCCACCACTGAAGGTAAGGGCTCTCTGCACAGCCGTCAAGATCTAACGCGAAGCTTAAGGCATTTTAAATAATGACTCTTTTACCCTTGCAGCACTGCAGCAGGTTGGGATTTGCTTGCCATGTTTCCATGAAGTTCATAGCGACTCCTGTTGAAGTGCTTTATGATCAGTAGGGGCTGTGATCCTCAGTCTTTCTCGTCCTCCTCCCTGCAGATTCCCGTCTCCCGGATTGTGCCCACGCAGGCGGCTGCCGGCCAGCTGTCTCCCAGGTCCCCCTTTGCGACCTCAGCTGCCAGCCCCTTTCGCGCAGGGGCTCGCACCCTGGCCGACATCAAGGCTAAAGCCCAGCTCAGGAGGGCTCAGAGCGCTGCGGCCGCTGCTGCTGCCGCCGCAGTTGCTGCCGCCGTTTCCTCTTCTGGGGGAGCTGTGCCAGGCCCAGGACCAGGAGGAGGTGCTGGAGAGGCCAGTCCTGCACCAAGGGGAGGGGCTCTGTCCAGCCAATCAGAGCCCCAGATCAAGGGCTCCTCCTTGGCAGGTGGTGAATCTCAGATACAATTACATCATGCCGTTCCACCAATAACTGGGCAGAGTGTTTTACCCATCAAATCGAACACCAACCAATCCCACATCACCTTGCCCACAGCCTCAGCTTTGAGCAAAGACCTGCCAAAACATCCCGAAGACAGACCGAAAGAATTATCCCACAGCCAGTTAAGCACAAATTCTACTTTGGACAACCAAGTTCTGATGACGTTTCAAGCTGTTCAGAAGCCATTACTCAGCTCCGTGTCCCTGATATCTTCTGGGACAGAATCTGCACCACCACATTCAATTCCCATTCACATTACCGCATCCAGGTACGTGACACTGGAGCACGCCTTCACTGGAGGCTCTTCTGGAAAGGCCAGTTCCTCAATAACATCTAACAATCCCCTTGTAACCCAGCTTCTTCAGGGGAAGGAGGTCCCTCTGGAGACAATTCTCCCAAAACCACTCGCAGAGGCTCCGCCTGTGATAGGCGCCTCTGATGATAAAGGGCAATTGCCCAGCGCTGCATTCGGGAGTCTTGCTGTGGGTAGTGGAGGTCAGTTAGTCGCTGGTGTGGACAAGCAGAGACTGTTCATTTCCAGTCATCCGTCTGTGACTGGAGCCAGCAGCAAAGAGTTCTCTCTGCACCAACGGGAAATGCTGAACAAGGCCACCCAGGAGCAGATCCTGCAGACCCTCATCAAGAGGGCACACACTCAGCAGTTTGGGTCCGGTCCCCAGTCTTCGCTGCAGGAGGCCTGCGCACTGGGCTTTCCTTTAGAGTGTCCGACCACAGCTAGCTTTACGGCGGGCTTCTCGGGCCGGAAGAGGACATCCAGACCTGCCATGTCAGGGCATTACCTTCTCAACATCTCCACCTACGGGAGAGGCTCTGAGGGCAGCAAGAGGGCTGTCTCAGCAATGTCTTCTACTCTGGTTAACCTGAAGAAGGAGTATGTGGAGACTGAGGGAATCCCAGGCGCTGACAATGCGTCAACGAGAGAACAGTCTGCTGGAGCAGACTCTGGAGTTAAGATAGAACCCCAAGGACCTTCAACTGATCCTCACAGTGAAGACCTCGAAGACACACTTGATTTCCATATGCAAAAAAAGATCAAGTCAGAGTTCTCATCTGGACATTCACCTGACAAGGAAGAGAAGTCAACCCAAACGACGGGCAGCTTCGCTGCTTCAAGAGCCAAAGAAATCGAGCATGTGACTCAGGTGCTCACAGGGCATGCCGCCCTCGGCAATAATTCACAAAGCAACTCCATATCAGTAGCACCAGAGCCATATCAGCTGCAGCTACATACGGCTGCAAACCCCCAACAGACTTCTGCCTACGTCGTGCAGAAAGCCCACGAGAACCAAGGACCTGGGAACTCCGCAGGAGCCGGCAGCCCGCCCGGCTACAGCCCAGCATCCAGCAGCGAGGGAAGCGTCATGTCCTTCTCTGTGACAGTCACCACCATACCAGCCAATCACAGCAGCCACGGGGAAGCCGCGCCCATACCAGCCTTCACGGAAGGCGCCGGCATCGACAACCCGCCGTCCAATTGCTACTGCAGGCTGAAGGCCATGATCATGTGCAAAGGCTGCGGAGCCTTCTGTCACGACGACTGCATTGGGCCGTCCAAACTCTGCGTGTCCTGCTTGGTGGTGCGATGAGTCGCTTTCTGACAGGCTTCAAGTACTTTCAGGAATCCCCGAGAAAGACAGAACGTTCATCCAAGCTGGCTGTTTTGTTTTTTGTTTTTTTTCCTCGTTTTCAAAAAGACTCCATTCAGCACCTTTTTCCTAGACTTGAGTCACTCGTGTTTGTGAATTGTGACAAAGTTTTGCACTTAGAGGAAAACATTTATTGCACAATATTTTGTTAGAAACAAAAGTGAAACAAAACGAGATATTTTTATAGAAAAGAGGACTCCCGGATGGACAGCCGCTTCCTTTGCAGTAGAGCATTTGATTGACCTTGTGCATTCTATTGTAAATATGAAATATGCTGTGTGTATATGTGTGTGAATGTTGGGGGTGTGGCTTCATGAGGAAGGCCTCACAGAGAGGCACAATCTGGGTCCTACTGCTAGTCAGAATAATTAACATGGGACAACATTGGGGTAACACCAGCTGTGAATTATGGACTTGAAAGCAGAATCTAGTTCCAAATGAATATCTCTTATGATCACGGTGGACTGCAGATAGAGTTTAGAGTACCTTGTGTGCCTAAGGGAGGTGGTTATGCTTTCAGCTAGACCAGCATGCGACTCTCAGAGCCGACGGGTGCTTTGGGTCTGTCCAGTACCTGCACGTAGGACATTTTCTCAGTGTAGTTCACCTCTCCTTATGTACATTGTGTTCTGTGTGTAGGCAGTGCACCTTCATGGAATATGCCACCGATGGGTTACCTAGGATGCAAGAGTGGGGCCGAGGCCAGCGAACAGGTGCCCTTAATGTTGGCGACCACATGGAATCAAAATACAGAAATAGTCGTATCTAACATCTGATTGGCTATATCACTCCTTCATCCCCACCTTTGAACTCAAAGACTGTGACTATAGTGGATAATTTGGTTATTAAGTGCATGAGACTTAATGATTTTGTGCATGTGGGAAATTAGCTGTTTTTGTAAGCACTGAAGGCTAGAACCTTCCGGAGCCCCAGCAGCCCCGAGCCGTGAACACTTAGAAGCACCTTGATGGGAAAGTGCAGTGGAAGACGTCCGTAGTGCAGGTCCCCGAAAGGACGGCCACACTCCTGCTGCTCTCCATGCTGTGGATGATCGGCATCAGCTTTCATTTTTCATTTTCTGATAACTTTTCGACTAAGAGCCGGAACCGGCACAGAATTTTGCATTAGATTCCCCGTCTCTAAGGTCTCAGCCCCTTCGCTGCAGCTCGGCAGCGCCGTCGTTTCACTGCTCTCTCATTGGCGTGTGATATTAGTGATACTCTTGGACCAGGGGCAGATTAACTTTTCTGGGGGCCCTAGGCTGGTTATTTTTTGGAGCCAAAAGGGAAGGGGGGTGATGGCACGAAAGTTTTCTGGTCAGAGTTGGGGGTTGTCGTGTATGTTCCCCAGTTCGTCACTGGATTAATCCTAACATACCCAGCTGTACTGACCAGCAGGCACATGCCCTGCGGCGGGCCCTTGGTTTGGTACCTGTGTTTTCCACGACCGTGTCTCCGCAGTGCAGGGGGCCTGAGTCCTTACCCTCGACCCATAGCCCCATTTTCAGAAACTTTTTCTTGAAATTATGAAGTGTTTATAGATTTGTTTCTCGCAGTTTGTTAAATTGCTTTAACTCCAAAACAGAATAGTCTGATGTGAGATTTCGTTTCATGTTGTCTTTCTCCTTTGAGCTGTAGGTGAAGTTAGACACCCAGGAATACCCACACGCTTTCCGCCGTCGCTCTCTCCCAGCTGAGTTTTTCCTGCCCCCAGGCTGATTGTCGTAGCAAAGACTTCCTATTTAACTTAGTTTTCCCTCTGTTTTTAAAAAATATCCTCCCGATCTATGTTTGCTTTAAATCCGATGGAAGCGTAACAGTACCAGGATGAAATGCCAATGTCTGTGCATGGATGTGGAGTCCAGCAGCAGAAACTGCGGAGAAACACTTGGTCCAGAGGTGAAATGTCGCGCTCAGCGTGTCAAACTATGATGGCAGTGCTGTTGTTATATCACGTGTATGAATCATTTCTATGGTGTTATACCAAAGTCACCATCTGATTTTTATTTTAAAGTTTCAACAATTAAACAAAACAAAGTAATATATTTTAAGTAATCTATTTTAATATATAAAGTCTATTTATAAATGATTTGATTACAAAAGAAAACAGGGTATTTACTGGAATAATGTAATTGCAGTTCTTTTATTCTTTTCACCACATTGTGCAGGACAAAGTCTTTTTACAACTCTGTTAGATCTGGATGCTGTGTCTGACTGCAAGGAAATGTACAGAGAGGTCTTCTCTGTGTATCTATGGCTGATTTTAACCTGAGTATGGCATTCAGCTGCAGTGCCGTCTTGTACCCCAGTAAGCCGGCCGGTTACCGTAGCGAGCTGAGCTCTGAGATTCGATGACATAAAGGTGAATGTGAGTCCGGTGAGGCAGCTTCAATGAGCATGCAATCACCATCATCGGCAGAATGTATCTGAGATACGCGTGTTTACTCCTAAAACAATATAGCCCTCAGCAAGCGGAAAATAAAACACAAGACATATTATTTTCATGTTTAGTTTTTTAATGTGTTTTAATGTAGTTTCGAAGACACTGTATGATTATACATCTTTAACAACATTTTAAAAAGAAGCAATATTCACAGTTAAAACACCTAGTGTGTCTTTAATTAAAGGAGTGTGGTCTTTTATAGCTTTTCTCTTGTGGTGAATTAGGCATTGAAGCAGAAATCTCATATAAATCTACAGGCAGAGGTGGAAATTCCAGGTTCAAAAAGAAAAAAATCCAGACCAAGATTTTGTTTCAACCAACCAGTTGAGCATGAAGAGTCAGTCACAGAGAACTCTGTTGGTTGTTTGAAATTTTTACTTTCTAGAAAGTACAGGAAAAAAGGCAGAACAGGCTGAAGCTGTTTTTGACTTTCAGAAATGTTATTCATTAGAGGTTTTGCACTAGCTTTTATTGAACTGCCCCAAAATCATTTAATATATTGTAACTTTACAAAACCAAAGTGGCTCCAGTCGGAGTTTTTCATAAAACCAGCATTTTGATGGCCTAGTTTGTGGTCTTATCAGGTATCGACATGGAGGGACAGAGAAAGCTTTGGCTGCCAGCCTCTTCCTATATTTACACCTTAAATGTTCAATGCACTAATTTGTTCACATTTTAGTAAAAGAAAGAAAAAAAAAAAACATTAAACACTTCAGATCTTTTTGGAGGGCTTTTCGCAGTGAAGGCCTCGTACCATTTCGTTAAATGGCCATTAGAGCTGTCATTCTTTTTAAAAAATGAAGTCAAAATATATTCGAATGGACTGTTTGACTAGATAACCTTGTGTTTTTGGTAGATTTAGAAAATGTAATTTTAAAAATGGTGTTTTAAAAGAACATTTTTTTAGAAAGATAAAAAATTATATTTATAATAACATTTTATAAAAGGAAGATTCTTAAATATTACATATGATTTTACTTAATGCTTATTATACTTGTAAAATTAGCTCGTGCTTTCCGCTGTGTGTTAATGAGTTTGTGTCGTTTTGCATTTCTCTGTGTAGTTGTGTTCAAACCTCAATATCCTCTAAAACATTGTTCTCCAATAAACATGCTTTTACAGCCAATCAATTTCAACATGTATTCCATTGTATTTGAATTTTGCCAGAGCAGTTTGTACGAGAAAGGGATTTGTGTGAATGCTATTCATTTGTCCTGTGTTTTCCTATAAAAACATACTTCTCGACCCATAAACTGTAATAATGATTTTGTGCTATAAGAGGCTTTTATTTTATGGAACAGGGCCAATGTACTGTGCTTACAGATGCTGGGTTCAGAGGCCAAGCTGATGTTTAATGGTCACTTGCGAGTCTTTTGCACAGTTGCCTGTAGCTGTCGTGCATTTTCAGGCTGAAAATGCAAATCTTCTGTGTAGCACTTTTAATAATAATTGATGTGTTTCCCACTATGAGGCTCATGGATTGTTCTAGATCATCCTCCTTGTCTCATCTTGCTTTACCCTGCTGAATAATATAACCCTGTACATACATACCTCTTCAATATTAAAACAGTTATTTAGGTTTTGTACATATTTTTCATTTAGAAAAATGTGAATATAAAACTCTCCTGGTGTATTTGCCGATGAACGTGATCTAAGAGAAATGCATTTTCCAGTGGCTGGGGTTCGTTTTCGTTTGGTCAGTTGTGGATCAAATCAGGACCGTGGGAATAATGTCTAAAGCGAAGTGTGTGTGTGTGTGTGTGTGTGTGTGTGTCTGTGTGTGTGTGTGTGTGTCTGTGTCTGTCTGTCTGTCTGTCTGTGTGTGTGAGTGTCTGTGTGTGTCTGTCATTCCCCAGGTGTGTGGATTCCTCCTTGTCTGGTTTCATTTGGGAAGAAACAGCCTCTTCAAAACCAAGAATGTAATATATTAATCAGCAATATGAGAAAAATGTATTTTATCATAATAGTTTGAAAGATTCAATAAAAACACAGTATGATGTTTCAGTATTTGAGTGACTTGTTTTTTATTCCCAGAACGGTGAGTTCTGACAGATTAATGAACAACGACTCTCTACTGTTCCCTTCCTTCTCCGCTTTATCCTCTCTCCTTTTCCCATCCCCTGTTCCGTCCCACTCTGCCGTCGCCTGCGGGCTGTCTCAGCGTTTGTGGAGGCGCGCAGTGTCCTTCAGTGGCCTGCTGCTGTCCACACGTGCAGAGCTGAGATGCCCACGACCTGCTGACCGTCGCCCCGCATGCTGGCTGGCAGCTCCGTACAGTGCCGGTCTCACTGAGGGCCATGGCTGCCGTTTGTATGGCTTTCGGTAAAAGTCCAGGGAGGTGTGAGTGGAGATACCACGCCCAGGGATTCACCTGCTTTCACGTAATAAATCCCAAGCCATCTGCTACCTGCAACTGCAAGGTCATGACAGCAGAAATGTGGATGTGAGATGTATGGATGTGAGAGTCCTGCAAGTACAAGGCGGGGATCGATAGATTCCCTAAATATCACATCAGGGTCTTGCAGCAGCTTGAATCATGGGGGACACCTGTGAGGTTTTCCCTGTCACTTCAGAGGGCGCCGAGTCGGTGAGTGAGCAGGCCGGATGTGACCCGGTCCGTCTGAACTGATCAGCTGTGATTCAGGACACAGAGACGCTCTGTTTCTGTGAAGTCAGAACCAGGCCACAAAGATAGGGGCTGAATGAGGACACGCATCAACAGATCTGTCCTGCCAGACTACACTGTGCTGCATAGCCCTGCTTTCCGTAGAGCCTTATACTATACACTATACATTATACCCTCTGCACTGAACACGCTACCCTATACACTGTAATGTATAGTATTATACACTCTGCACTACACGTTACCCTATACACTGTAATGTATAGTATTATACACTCTGCACTACACGTTACCCTATACACTGTAATGTATAGTATTATACACTCTGCACTATACATGATACACTAAACAATATAATGTATAACATTATACATGCTGCACTATACATGCTACACTGTTGTCTCCCTGACTATGCAGTTCTGGTCCTAGCCAATGTGGCGCCCTGTGTGATGCCCCTCAGAAGTTGCCGCCCTAAGCGGCCACCTAGTTCCACTATAAGATGGACAGGCCCGGCTAAAATGTGCACATTAACTAGACAATATACTTCACATGCCACATATACATATAAACATAAAGTGCATAAACATTGTAAGTGACACAAAGACGAGTAAGATATGGCAGTGCAAACATTTGTGAACTCAATGTAAAACCGAATTTAAAGTGCAGGCAGTTTGCACAGGCCAAACATTTAATTATTGTGGGCTGGATTTGGTGTGCATGCCACTCACTGGGGACCCCTGCAGTCACATTCTACCCTGCAGTCTACCCTCTACACTGCACACTGTACACCAGGGGTCTCCGGTCTCGGACACAGTGAGCACTACTTCTACAAAGAAAATATTACGGAGGACTATGTGTTTATTCTCTGTGGAAACTGATCCATTGATCAACATGCCGGATTTTAATAATGATTAAAAAACACGTTGCGGGGTGGATGGAACCATATATGCCTGAAATGCCTGAATTGGAAGACAGACAGCTGCCCATGATTCACTTTTAATGCTCTGACATTGCAATACCTCTGAATCCTCCCCCACGACGCCGAGATGGACGGAGACAGCCGTGGTGCTGGTGTGCAGGATGCTGGGAGTCAGTCTGTGCGGACTCTCCCAGGAATCACCAGTCTACGCTACTCTCTGTGGGCTTTCCTGCTCTGAGGGTGTCCCTTAGTGTAAAATAAGCTGATGACAGACTCCTTAACGACGCAGCCGGTGGCTGGACACCCTCAGCGCTCCGTTTACCGCTCTGCAGCCGGCAGAAGCTCATTAAGCTCCCAGAGACGCCGCTTCCGGTTCATTGGGCACGTTCCTCATTTTACAGCCGCTGGGCCGGACGCGGCTTGACCGGTGCTGTCACCTGAAGGGCTTCGCCGAGGGCCACTTTTGGCACAGCGAGTCAGAACTGTACCGTTGCCAAGGGCTGCTTTTGGTACGAGTATGTGGAGCAACACCATGACCCAATCTTGTATCTGGAGCCCCCCTGCCACAAAACTTGATGCCGTCATTGCCCCATATATATATATGTGTGTATATATGTATAAATATATAAATGTGTGTTTCTTTTAAATCTTTATGTTTAAACATTTCATTAACATTTCATGACTGAGACAGAGCTACCAATGTTCTACTTAATCTACTTTTTCATGAAAAGCTACTTTTTCTTTTCTCCTCATTAAATTCCAACGATACTTATAAATTCTGACCAAACTTACGCTGTTTGGGTTTATGGTTATTATAATGAGGTCATGCAGGGTTTACTAAAATCTCTGGCGGGAACAGTGATATATTACACCAAAAGGGCATTACATCAAAATGTTGCCCACACAACATTTTTCACTGCTAGGAATAAATTAGCTTGAAATGAGCAAATTAGCCAGCCTTTGTACTGAATGTGGCGAGCTGGCTGCTGTTAATTCATAATCATTCAATACGCAGCATAACTCCACATTCAGCATTTTAAGGAACATGAACAGAAAATGATCGCAAGACTCCGACCAGGAAGAGATTCAATATTCCTATATATTTAATATGCTGCAGCTGTTTCTGCCACTCACAGGAATGCAACGTTAAATTAATGATGTCTTGTTTATTTTTTTAGAAGTTGTTTAGTCATCTTGGGTATATTTTTAGTGACATCCCTGGGAGTGCAGATTTCCTAAAACATTCGCGTTAGTACAGTGTCACCTATCGCAGATGACACATCCGTCATGGGGACGGTCTGATCGTAAGAGCTGTATAATGTCTCACTGTTTTTAATGTCTGTATGCACCACCACGGTCCACCTGGATCTCCCTGACACCATGGCACCGTTGATGTCACATTTCACATGAAGACTGAGATTAAAGGATACAGCGGCTGCATCCCTTCAAAGGCTGTTTGTTCGCAGGCGCCCGTCGCCAGAGGGATCGTGTTTCATCGGGCAGCTCGCTGGAAAATCCGGCGCGGACTCTGCCATTAGCGGAGCCCCAGGCTATGACGTGGCTGACTAATTCCGTTCTGAAGGCCTCGATCTCTTTAAGGTTCTCAGCAAGCTTGGAGGCAGACCAGGGCCTGAGATAAACTGGCGTCCCACGATGGCTGTTCTGCAGGTGGCTTTGAGACCCGGGGCTCATCGGATTGGGGAGACAGCTGGCGACTGTTCAAGTGACTCAGAGCTTCAGTCACTTGACGGCATCTGATGAATGTACTTGAGCGCGCCCACGGTTCACTGAGAAGGTGGGCGCTGCATGCCGGCACGAAACTTCACTGGGATCCCACACAAAGGTGTTTGTGCTACAGCAACTGGGCACTTTAGCTGACAATCTTGTGTTAAGTGTGTGGAGGTTCAGGACACAAAATGATCGGAGAAGTCAAGCCTCAAAGGAGACTGAACACACGTGTGTGAGGAGTGGATTTGCTGGTGTTGGAGTCCCACTCAAGGAGTCATTTTTGGGGCCTGCTGCCCACCTCAGATGTTTCAAAAACTAAATAAATAGCTAGTTTGTAGAGTAAGAAGATCGTAACTAGCTAGCTGGTTAGCAGAATATGTTATTAAATATTTAGTGTAGTGACTGTTTGTATATGCTTTGAGTAGTGGTATACGTCGCTGCTGCCCATGGAGATCAATGGTAGGACCAATCAGCCAATTACGAAACAATGGTTCTCAACTCCAGTCCTGAGGACCCACTGCTATTGGCTGACTGAGAGGTCACCTCAAAAACCAGCACCCACACCAGCCACTAGACCAGAAAGGAAAGAGGTTCAAGAATTTGCAGGGTTAACAGGAAATGGGATTGTCACAGAACATTGTTAGCTTTATTATTGGACTATATCTGTGCATATCCGTGTGTTTATCTGGTTACGGTGTCCTTTCTATTTGTCGTTTTTGTTTGCCGACAGAGTACAGTGTGCTTCAGTGTTTGAGGACATTAGGTGTGTTGTAAAAAAACAGGAAGACACAGGAGCAGCAGACTGCAGCCCAGCAGAGAGAAAATGATGATGTCACCAAGGTCCCAGAATTCACCTGTGCGTCAGACAGAGAGCAGTGCCATCTTCAAAGTTGCTATCTTCACATCTTCCTGAGGAGATTAGATAAGAACATCCCATCTAGGATGTACCCCAGCCCCGTGCCCTATGCTACCTGGGATAAATGGTGAGTTACAGGGAGAGAAGTCACAAGATTCTTTATGTACCTGTCAGTTTTAGTAAAATAGAGTAAAACTTCTTGGGCGGTCTTATATGCAACATAATAGGAGATACATTTCTATCTGCTAATTTTGACTTATTGGCTGTTTCTCATTAAATGAGTTCTACATCATATTGAGCTGATTATTGACCTCTAATTAAGCAGTTAAACTTAGTTTAAGTTCATTATCAGTGTCTAATACTTAGTTTTCTCTCCAGTGCATGACTTTTTGCTTTAAATTTTACTATGCTCACCAAGATAGGAATTGCCGGTGAATCCGTTACTGTTGACAGCCCGACTGTTATTTACTATGGGCTAAGCGGCTGAAAAACTGCAGCTGTTTTCATGTGCAAGACATAAGTCAGATGATGTACATATTCTCCTCCATGTTCTATGTATGCTGTTCTCGTGTTCTATGTGTACAGTTTACATGTTCTCCCCATATTCTATGTGTGCCGTTCTTTGTGTGCAGTTTACATGTTCTCCTCATGTTCTATGTGTGCCATTCTTTGTGTACAGTTTAAATGTTCTCCCCATGTTCTATGTGTGCCGTTCTATGTGTGCATTTTACATGTTCTCCTCACATTGGGCAAGATTCAGGTCCACTGCAGCACCCACTGAGGTTTTATTTCCATTCTAATTATCTCAAGGCATCAAAAATCTCTGCTGTTACTCCTTCTACCCTCCTCGTGTGTCTTATTCTTAAATCCCTATGATTCACTTATTTCCTACTTCTTATGCAATGTATTTCTCCAATATTAATATTAGAATAATTAATTTAAAGAACAAATGTGAGTTAGAAATAGCCCGTGTTTGTTCTTGAGGGCATAAAAAGGCGAGTATGGTTCCATGCACACTGTGGTGTATCAAGGTTTAAGGCTCTCGATGGAAATTTTATGAGGTCCATGCAGACCATCATCCTCTTGAAAATCTTTGCTGTGCACTTTGATTGAAATAAACACATGAACTGAAACACTGAAGCCGTTTTGCCAGCCAGGGAACATTACACACATGATATCTTCAGGTAGTTCCCTGTCGCACAAAGAGTCCACCGTTCTAGAACCTTCTCCTACGCCTCAGACTGTGGTCAGCCCTGACTTTTATTCTGGTGCTGAATGTATGACATCAGACTGTAGTGGTCAGTGAGGCAAAACATTTCCATTTGATTCTGATTATTTCATTCTGTTCTTGTTTGTTTCATTTTTCATGAAATTGACGATCACCATTTGTCACTGATGTCTATCCTTGCTGAACAGTTATACATACACATCTGAATCACAGATCAGATCAAATCATGTTACATTTGGGGAAAATCAATGTTAATAATTTCAGACTATTTTCTCTGGTTGTCTTATTTGCCCTCAATGAACAAAAACTCAGTGTGAAGGTCACTAGCGGAAGGTATCGGATTTTGCAGAGTTAGGGTTTATGCTGAAAGAAAGCAGTTCATTACAGTGTTTAATAATCAACTTTATTGTTTGGAGTAATAGAGAGTTGCCATGACAACCCTGAGAATACCAAGACAACAGCTGGTAAACTATAACCAAAAAACTGCAGATACTAGCATTGACCTTTGTAACGTAGATGAGTAGAAGTGTATTGTGCAGAATATGTGCAATTCCTTTACAATAATGATTCATACGTCTAGTCAACTGATTATAGTTTTGGCTGTAGAAAATGTTAGCATTACTCAGCTCAGAAATACTGACATGTTTTATTGTTTCACCAGTATTCATACAAAACTGTAGATGAAAATATGGCTCTCTTTCAAGATAAAACGCTTTACGTGACACATTTACACGGATACTTATAATAGCTCATATGCTGGTGTGTTTAGGGCACGTTCCCTGTTTCAGCTTATGTTCGCAGCGTCTATTGTCACTGTACTTCTGAAATGGAAGTGTGAGTCATATTTTGCCACCCATTACCATCCTTGTAGGTAGCACCATTCTCTAAATATGGCTTCCGAAAGCATGAGAAGCATTTATGTGACACCCTGCTAATCGATGAATAAAAATGCTTTGGCAAAGTGGTCTACAAGACTTGTCCTGTTACTCATTTTCTCCCAGACTCTGCAGTAACCTGGATAAAGGGGTAATTCCACATATTCTACTGCAGTATTTTTTTAATAATAACAATCCCTTAAGCAGGCCAGTTATTCCTCTTGCTCTCAAAGTTCCCTGATCTGGGAGCCAGTGAACTCTGGTTAGATCTTAAGGGATTTATAACTTTTCTCGTATGCTGTGGTACTTCCGCAGCCCTGAGTCGGAGACGCTGGTTTGTGACGTCTCCGAAAATGCAGTCTGTTGGCGATTCCCAGAAATCCGGCTAATTCTCATTTCTCATCTAATTTTGAGCTTAACTTCTGGCGGTTGATCCCTTTTTGTGGGGATTTGCCTGCCGTTCATCCACCAGGCCGAGCATTAGAAGCGCTGTGTGTCATGAGCCTGAGTTACGGTATTTCCAGAATATGACGTGTAACATGAACCACGCATGCATGTCTTTTTACACCAGTGGCTGCACATGTGTGACGAAGCGTGTCATTAAGCCAAGCCATAGCACACTTCTAAAATAAATAATACCACTTATGAGTCTCGGTGACCTTGATGCCGTCCTTGACCTCCATTCCCCGTCCTGAGCCATGTTTCTCGCAGTGACTGTAAGTTCTTCTTATCTGGAATTTGTTACACTCGTGAATCTGGCCATGTGACAAGCTCAGCTCTTTGGGAGGATTCTGCTAACTTTGCCTCTTGATTTCTAAAGTCACATTTTTTAATTTGTCTGTGAGTTGACACCCCACGCTTTAAAAGTGGTAATGAATGAAAGATTATGTTCGCTACGACAATTAACGGGATGATGTTACGGCTCTAAATTGCACTGAATCATTCACTTTATCAGCATGCAGATTAATTCCTCTTCTGTGTCTTCCATGTGAAGTTGGAGACACCAATTCACCTAACGGCATGATGTCTTTGCACTGTAAGAAGACCCAGAAAAAAACCTACACAAACAAAAAGGTTAAAATGCTGCCCACTGAGGCAGGGCTGAGATTCAAACCCAAACCCTGCAAGCGTGGGTTCAGTGCTGCCCTCTGACAGGCTACCAGGCCATCGCATGATGCAAACCCAACTCCACTGTGGGAAAGGAGCTCATTTTAATGAAAGGCCAGTGAGTGACTATGAAGACAGAAATATCTCACGGTTTCATGTCACTGACGGCGGAACCTCTAAAGACGGACAGAGTCACCAAGTTCATCACGCTGCAGGAGGTACACGCCTGAGAAGCAGGGAGTATGCCTAGACTTCAGAAGATGATTCATGTCTGGGGGAGGTGTTTGGCTCAGCGGGTTAGGACTTTGTGCCTCTGACTGGAAGGTCACTGGTTTAAATCCTAGGGTTGGTTGAGTGATTTTACCAGCGGGCCCCTGAGTAAGGGCCTTAACCCACAATTGATCTAGGGATTGTCTGACCCTGCTTTCTCAGGAATATGTCCCTTTGGATCAAAGTTTGTGCTAAATAACTGTAATGTCCAAAGCACAGCTGGTGTTGAGTGGACGGGTTTGCTTGCTGGGTCACATGACTGTGACGGATTCCACAGCACTCTGCTTGGTCAGGTGACTTAGTTTTGGGGGGGGGGGGTAGTTCATACAGGGAAGGGCTCAGGCCTCAGTCATAAATATAATTACATTTCTCAGAGCCCCTCAGCACCCCCCCCCCCCATACATCTCAGAGGTTCCTGATGAAGATGCTGCCCCAATGCTGTGGTGTTAGGGGATCGTCACAGAGCGTGCTATTCTCTTCACTGACAAAAAGGTTTATGCCAAACAACCGACTGACAATCAAATAACGAAGCATCAAATACACATTATGAAAATGACATAATATTACCTAAGAACTGGAAGTTTTCTATTATCAGACACAAAGGGGGGAGCTTAATGTGCCTGGGAGTAAAATTTTTGTGAGACAGCAGCCTTGCAGGTGATGGTGTTGCATGTGTGACTCATGACATCCCTATATATACATTTCCACATGTCCCTTAAAATCTTAAGATCTTAAAGGCTACAACTAAATTGTTCAGGGGTGGGTAATCCATTTTATTTCTATTTCAAGCCATTGACAGGTAATGCTGTGATTAAAAATATATATATTGATGGTTATACGACAAGCATCAGTTCCTTTATGCACATTTCTTGGACTTGCAGTAAAAAAAACACCTGAAAAAAATAAAATCTCGTTCCATCCTGTTTCCATGGGACACACAGCAGGGCTCATGGGAAATGTAGGCACAATAAGAGGAAGGGCGCGAGCAAGCAGGCGTCTGTGCATGCAAACAGAGGCAGCAGGAAGGGGGTGGGGCTTCTTTTACCAGGGCCGTGCTAATTCACGTCATAAACGTCTGTCATCCATCAGGGTGCAATCAGTCACCACCAGCCAATGCGACGTCCCTTAAAGATGTGGAATAAAGCCAGAAAACCATCATAACCCCAGTCACCTGCAGAATTGATATGTGAGAGACAGCTTGTGAACAAACATCAGTATCAGTTTGTGTGTCAGGTGACCCCCCACCCCCAACGGTGTTTTATAACACTTGTGGGGCCACATCCTGGAACGCACCTGGGGTGATGAACACTGGCTAAGGTTCCGCCTGATGGGGGAATTTCCCGTAATCATATTTACCCAGTTCACTGCTCTTTCTGCAGATACTAGTTGACTTTTACAGGCTTTATCCCAAATACACAGTTATGTATTTTAACCTGAAGACCAAAACACCTGAACTACAGGGAGCGATTTATTAAGCTATCGATGTGGCTGACGTGGATGCTGGTCTTCCCAGCTGGTAAATCCAGTAATGCTGCATAATTCTCGGCATGAGGAATCCCCCCCCCCACACACACACACACACATCCATCCACATGCACGGCCCCCCACTCTGAGTCGCACTCGTATTTATCTACAAACATGATGCAACCTCTCGTCGTTTATCAGTAAGAGTTAAAAGACGCCTCTGGTTAGTGCGGAGGTGCGGATGACAGGACGCGGCGGCGCGCCGCTCCGCTCGCTTTTTACAGCGCAGACCCGTAGCGGGACGCACAGGCGGAACAGCGCTGCCGTAAATGACAGCGGCACTTCTGGCGGTGTGTCAGCGGCCGCCGGGGAGCCTTTTCCCGGCCTCTTATCGTAGAAAAACACGGTAATCGCAAGCTCATTTATCACGCTTTGTGCCACAAAAGTGCTGAGCTCCGTCCGCGGGCTCCCGAAGGCTCCCCCGCCGTCTGCTGGTGCTGCTGAGGGGGGAGAGAGGGGCGGCAGGCTGGGAGGGGAGAGCAGCCAGAGCACCGGGGTGCAAATGGACAGCCGCCGCCGTCTCTCCCCGTGAACCTCCGGCCGAGCCGCGCTTCCTTCGGGCAGAAGAACCCAGGCGCAGCCCGGCGCCCTCCCTGCCGAGCTCCTGCTTCCCGTTCGGTGCCGGTACCGGCGAAGCCCGCTTTGGTAAGTCGGCGAGTGTTCGGGCATCCCGCGGAGCGCAGGTTCGGGCGCGGTTCCGGAGGGGGGTCCCGCTTTATCACACGGAAGACGCGCTTGGGGAACCGCGCCGAGCTCCTTTCTGCAATATGGCCGCTTCTCCGAGTCCCGTTTCCCCGAGTAAGCGCGCATTGGCGCGCCGACGGCTCCTGGAGTTCCTCCGCCGAGCCGAGCGGGTCAGAGCCCCGGAGCCATGCGGGCCGGGGGGCGCCGAACCCGAACCCGAAACCGGACTCGGACGGAAGCATAAAGAGCCGTTTTAAAAGCAGACCCAGGCTCTGGTGCCGGTCCTGTGACTCCGATGTCAGGGATCCCGGCACATCGTGCCTTTTATTTCACCGCGATTTTAAATGAAAGACTGAGGGATTCAGGAGGGTGATCTGAGGGAAAGATGGAGGGATTTAGAGCTGTGAGTGTTACGGGGGCATCTGCCGTAGGCAGAGCTACGCAGTGACGGTAACTTACTGCGGCCGCCTGGTACCTGTGTATGTTCGCTGGAGAATGAAGATAAAGGTCCGGTACGGGGATAAGGGTGGTTTTCTAACAGCAAACCCGTGTGTGTGTGTGTGTGTGTGTGTGTGTGTGTGTGTGTTTTACCATTATGTAATACTGTGCATGTTGCGTCTGTTCTGCATCTCGTACTTTCCATCTCATACACTTCCCAGTTGTGAGTTTTCATTTTAACTTTTAAAAGGCACGGCTTTCCAGCCCCGGGAGCGGTGCACATGTGTATACCGCTTTTTGCACACGGCAGCATGCAACACCGCACTGAAAAACCCTCATGCATCTTTGCACTGTCTCCGGCTTGCATACAGTACATTTGTGGTTTTTTTTTTTTTTTGCAACTTCTGTTGCGAGGCTGTTTGCATGCCTTTTTGAATCTGCCCTTTTAGTTCACGTTGGCTTTGAGATATAGATGAGACTGCGTCATATTTATATTAGCGGTGAAGTGCACGTACAGCATCCCAAAAGAGCTCTGTTATTCTGCTATTTTCAGGGAACTGGATCGCATTTAAACAGTGACGTCATACCGATAGTAGCAGACACGCACAGTCTCTCCCTGCATGTGACTGTTCGGTTGCCTCTCCACTGAGTTGCGCTTGTCAGTGTGTATTTGCGTCGATCTGCTGGACGGCTTCAGTCTCGCAGGGATAACTGCAGCGCAGGCTATGACCGACTGTTGGGACCCTCGCACCCCAGCACAGGTTCCGATAACCGCCAAGTGAAGTGCAGTCACAGAGATATCAGCAAAGGGCAGTGAGTGACCTGGAAATGCTTGTGCAGTGCCTGCCATCCTCAGGACGATGTGTTTACTTTAAGCCGGGGGACGCTGTGTCCTGCCCCTGCCTCTTTTATTTGTATTTCCTTACTCTGTGATACATGGCTTCTGTTTGTTCCTCATCTCCCCTTACAGTGAGACTGCAGTGATGTCCATCTGTGTGTTCTCTCTGCAGTGATGACTGTGTGCATGTTACCTCTGCAGTGGTGTATGTGTCCCCTCTGCAGTGATGTCTGTGTCCACTCTGTTGTGACATATATGTACATGTCCCCTCTGCGGTGACATACGTGCCTGTGTCCCGTTTTTGGTGATATCAGTGTCCATGTCCCATCTGCAGTGATGTCTGTGTCCCCTCTGCAGTGAGGTATATGTCCATGTACCTTTTTCAGTGTCCTTGCCCTCTCTGTGGTGATGTCCGTGTCTGTGTCCCCTTTTCGGTGATATCAGTGTCCATGTGTGCGTCCCCTCTGCAGTGATGTTTATGTACATGTCCCCTCTGCAGTGGTGTTCCTGTATGAGTCTCTTCTGCAGTGACAGCTGTTTCCCCTCTGCAGTGATGTTCGTGTATGAGTCCTCTCTGCAGTGATGTCTGTGTCCCCTCTGCGTGACATCCATGTGTGTCCCCCTTCTGCAGTGATGTTCATGTACACGTCCCCTTGCAGAGATGTCTTTTTCCATGTTCTCTCTGCTGTGATGGCAGCTCGGTGCGTTCAATATGTAGTTATTGTGTTTGGAAAGTGCAGAGACGGCAGCTTTTCCACTAGAAGCTTCGTCCCTGTGGGGTCCACAGCCCGACAGTCTGCATGTACAAAGCATGTACATCGTCATATATTTGAGGTGAACAGGTCAGTTCTGGCTGCAGGATAGTATTGGGGGGGGGGGCTTCTGTAATAGCCCCTTGCGTGTGGATTGAATTATTTACAAACACAGAGCAGCAGGTGGTCTTCTGGTTAAAGACAGGTCTGTCTTTCTGTCTTATACTGAAGTTGAATTGCTATGGTATCCAGCTGTGGAAATGGGTTGGAACATTCTGTTTTGAAAGTAAAACATCAGTCTGTCTGTAATAATCTTATTAACTAATAATGATAAAAGAATATAAAAGGTATTGGGAGCGCCAGTGATACATCTACAGATTGCGTTTGCTTAGCTCGCAGTTTTACTCTGAAATTGTTAAAAGCTTGTCACTCCCCCCTGTCTATTCTGAGGGGTGTCAGGTCAGCAGACGTGGTTAGACCCAGCTGTCTATTGCCGTGCTGTATTTGCCTGTGAGGTGGCAGTTTGGAGACTCGGCTGTAAGTTCTCCCCCACCAGGTGGCCGTGTGGTAGAGTCTGCAGACATGGCTCCATGGGTCTCCTATGTGCTTTACCTTGGAAGGAACCATTGGGTGACTACTCCGTGTGTGGGGGTGGGGAGGTCTGGGAATGCAGAGGTCAGTTTCTGTGGCGGCGGAATCAATTTCTATAGAGAGATGAATAGAGTAAGAAACGGAAATAAGAGTGGCTGTGTCAGCTGTAGCGAGGCTGGGCCACAGGGCCTTCGGACAGGCACTGTACCTACACACTGCATGACACAGTCACTGCTGGCAAAGCTTTCAGCCAATCAGAACGAAGACAGCTGGATGGGGACCATGAATAATGTCATTTTCCCAAGTCCTCCTCCGTTGTTCAGCAGCTTTTCTCTCCCTCGACGACATACTCGTTCCATGGTCTGTTTTGCTTGCACATGATTCTGAAAGCCACGAATCTACCGGACGCCAACCGTCATCCATCTGCCTGCAGCACAGTGCAGCTTCTGCAGCCAGGAGTAATGCGTGCGGAAACACCAGTCCTGAGGTGATCTTTGTTGTTCTGCTAATTTCTAGTTGATTACCGGATGTAATGGTGCGTAGAGTCTCTGTGTGTAAACATCACCCTCTGGGGCTTCTGTCTCACTTCCTTCATCGAGAGGTTAATGGTGCGATTTCAGTATCTCTGCCTTTGCCAGAGGGGGGCACTGTGACTGGGATAATGCTTCATATCGGCATCTAATTACAAGCTGAAGACGGGTCAGAGACCCTTAAATGACACACGTCCCTGCGTGCTCCCCTTACGGCTGACAGTCGAGTGTCTGGATCTCCCTGGGATCGTCAGGGTTGCTTCGTGCCGTTACTGTGACTGGAACAGAAGTTGCTTGATCCCAGGAAGCACGTAGTGTCTGCTTTTGGCATACAGTGACGATTTTTCCCTAACTGGGATCTTTGTGTCAGACTGGTCTCCCCGAATAACAGTAGCTAATGCTGTCCGGAAATAGAAACCTTCCCTGTTTTCCCTTCCTGAACCTTCTTTTGCCGGTGCTGAAAATGAAAATGATGAAAGATGGAGTCGAGCTTCAGGTGTGTTTTCAAGCTTGGTTTTGGTTGCCCCTTATTTCCAGATAAAACATCTGATTTGTGGACTTCTCTGGTAAACATAGGTACTTCTTCGAGGGCTTGCTTAGCATTGTTTTCCCTGCAGAGTGGAGATCTTGTATGAGATATTATTTAAATGGGACATAGTATTTGTGAAATGTACCTGTGATCTGAAGTCCAGATGACCTTCCAGGACCTTGTGTGAGCCTGGTGTTGCCTGGTGGGTTGTTTACACAGAGGGGTGTGTCCTGGGTTTCAGCCTGTGTATACATCTTTGTTGATATTTGAAGTGAAAGGTCTTTGAATTTGCCCCGTTGCCTGGGTCGCCCCCCTGGTACTCTTTGCCGGTGCCTCCAGGAGACGAGGGCTGAATAAACAGTGACATTTGTCTCCTGCGTGCTCCTGGGAAGCAACGTCTGCGTGATGAAATTGCTTTGTTTATGCAGTGAGGCCGCCAACGGTGATGCCGCAAACCTCGTAACAGTGGTTTGTGACCCACCAGGAATTGCTGGCTTGTAAATTCCTGAGGGGGGTGGGGCTGGTCACATGACACTGTCCTTGTGGCTGTGCCCATGTCCTGGTGCTGGGTTTCTGCTGATTGGCCTATGAGCCACAGGCTTCAGATGTATCAGGGAGTACATCAGCTTTATTTGACGGCAAGGGTAGGGAGGAAACAGAGGCAGGCCCTCAGCCAGGGGTTATGCCAGTTGGGCTAGCAGTGATGGCGCAGCCTTTTTCCTGTGCGCCCCCTTCCAATTGACACCCTGGAGGATCCCGCACTCCTGGTTTGTTAAGAGTAGCATTGGCTGTTGGTTCCCCGTGTTCCCAGCACAGCGTTGTTTGTCCTGCATAACGTCAATCCCTTGATGTGACTTTCCAAAGCTCAAAGCTGGCAGAAAATTTGTGCAGATCCAAGGAAAAGGGGCAGTAAATTGAGGAAAAGGGAAATAGAGTCTGAACCCCTGGGGAAAAGTCACCATGCACTTGGGCGAGTTGTGAGAACTGCTGTTCCCATGCCAACGGGCTGCTGTCCTTTAGATGTCATTTGTTGTGTTCAGTTATTGCTAAATAAGATGTTGTTCTGCTTTTTACTGCTTTTCTGTTTATTGCTTCCTGACTTTGTCATACAAAGAGATTCCTGTTGTTAAATATTCATTTTGGTTAATTTCCTGTGTTTTAAGTGGAATGTTCAGCATGGAAAGCTGTGAGCTGATGTGTTAATGCATTCCTGGTGACAATGTTGTAGACCTACTTTTTCCCCATGACTTGGGTGAAGACCCCTCTCCCACAGGGAGGCCACT